AGTTGTCAAAAATCTAGAAGTTTAAAAATGCTTTAGCGACTCCCCATTTCAGAGTTAAGCCAAACTCTTTGTCATGGCCTATAAGTCACAGGGAATTTGGATCTGGTCCCTTATATAACTTCATTTCCCTCTGCCTTCATTTGCTTTTTCATCCCTCCCTGGTCATCCTGGCCTTGTGCTTTCCTGGAATACCCTAGGCAACCCTAGTGCCTTATGACTTTTGAAATGCCTATTCTCTTTGCCAATAATTTTTCCCCAGGTCTGCAGAGTTAACTCCCTCACTTCCTTCAAGTCTGCTCAAATATCACCCCAATGAAACCTAGAGCCACCACACTCCTGATTCCTTAAGACCCTGATCATTTTTCCAGAACATATTCCAGCTTCTAACATACTATATGATTTTATGTTTATTTATACTATTTATTATTATACATTATATTGTTTTTCCCCTCTACTAGAATATAAACTCCACTAGGGCAGGGATTTTGGTTTATTTTATTCATTGATGTGTCCTAATCACCTAGAACAGTGCCTGAACCCATAGCAAGAATCCAATAAATATTTGTAGAGTGAATATCATATTGTGCTGGCAAGGGTGTAGGGAGAAAAGCATGCTCTTACATCACTGGGGGGTAACTGTTACTACCTCCATGGAAGTGATTTGGCAATATTTTAATTTGAAATGACAAATGACATATCCTTCAACCTGGTAATTCCACTTTTAGGATTTTCTTCTAAAGACACACTTGACCGTGTGTGAAATACATATGTTTGTAGTTACTGTAGAATTGTTTGTGCCAAAGATTGGAAATTACCTAAGTGTCCTTTATTATAAGAATACAATGAAATACTGGGCAGGAATAAAGAATGAGGAAACACTTTTTGGAGTAATATAGAAAAATCTCAAAGATATTAAGGAGAGAAAGTACAAGGTGTAGAAAGTGCAAGGTGTATAGAATACTATAATTTGTGAAAAAAGCAGGGAAGAGAATACACATATTTACTCATAAATGCATAATTATATCTTGGAAATAAAAGAAACTGGTAGCATGGTACCTTCAGGGAGGTGCAGTGGATGGCTGGGAATATTTTGTAACTTTTGAATTTTGAACACATATGCATTACCACTTTAATAAATCTATAATAAAACAAGAAAAACAAAAATGTTTTTTTTTAAGATTGTATTTATTTATTTGACAGAGAGAGAAACAGCGAGAGAGGAACACAAGCAGGGGGAGTGGGAGAGGGAGAAGCAGGCTTCCCGTGGAGCAGGGAGCCCAATGTGGGGCTCGATGTGGGGCTCGATGTGGGGCTCGATCCCAGGGCCCTGGGATCACAACCTAAGCTGAAGGCAGACGCTTAACGACTGAGCCACCCAGGCGCCCCACAAAATGTTTTCTGAATGTCTCTCTCTTTGTAGACACTATTTTAATTTCAAATAAATCCTGATTTAATATTCTGATTAAAGTGTTGAGGTACAGGGTTTTCACATAAGGAATCATGCAGAAGTAAGTATCTTGAGATTATTTTCAGATGTGGTCACTTACTGATTTTTGTTTCAAGGCAAAACCACCTAACATATCTATTTTGTGTGTGTGTGTGTGTTTTAAAAATTTTATTTATTTGAGAGAGTGTGTGAGCGAGAGAGCACAAGCGGGGGAGGGGCAGAGGGAGAGGGAGGAGCAGGCTCCCCGCTGAGCAGGGAGCCCAAAGCAGGGCTTGATCCTAGGACCCCCGGATCATGACCTGAGCCGAAGGCAGGGACTCAACCAACTGAGCTTAGGTGCCCCTTTGTGTGTGTGTGTGTTTTAAGTAGGCTCCACCACCCAACATGGGGCTTGAACTCACAACCCTCAGATCAAGAGTCAGATGCTCTACAGACTGAGCCAGCCAGGGACCCCAATCTATTTCATGTTTTTATTTCACTTTTGGTGGTGACAAGGCCTGGGCGGTATTATGATATTAATATTTCAAACATCTTAAGAGGTTCTTTCAACAACCAGAACGCTATAACAATTTCATTAATTGTTAAGTAGCAAAAAGTTCTGAAGTTCTGAATTAAAAGACCCCTTTATAACTTTTTAAAATGCCATTTTCAATTATTTTAATAATTCAGTTGATGAAAATAGTTTTGCAAAGGACTTTTAGCTTAGAAATCTGAAAAAAGAAAAAAATTCTAACAAGATTATTTAAAGCTCTAAAACAGGGTACCACAAAGGAAGTTGTAGAAATGTGTTTGGCTCAATGCCTATTTGAGAAAAAAAAATTTTTTTAATGCAGTGGGATTGGTTAGCCAGACTTTATAATTCTGTGGGCTCTTAAACTGAAATGATAATCTGGGCAGTAATAGAACACAAATTTTTTTTTTTTTTAATCACCAAGGCTTATTGCAGAGGAAAAGCTTGTCTTTCCTAGAAAAATAAATTTCTTTAAGGTCAGAATACTTGAACTGCCTACAAATTCTTTTCCTTTTGAGTGTCCTGCCCTTTTTGCCACAAAATGATTTCCTAAGATCATCTGATACACAACCCAGAGTTTAAGTCAGCAGGATTTAGTAGGTTTGATTTGGTTGGTGGGTGGTTGAAAGACAAAAGTTTGGGAGATCACTCTTGTACGGAGTAAGTAGAACTGTGACCTCTTGTATATACTTGAGTGACTGGAGAGACAGATTCTTTGGCTGTGGTCTTCTGAAGTGGTCTGGGGCAAGATTCCACTGAAAACCAGTGTCTGAGGGGCCAATAAGGCTGGACTCCATGTTTGATATATCTTCTATACCGTCTCAACTTTCTACCTTTTATCTCATTCACAGTTTCGGCATCCTTTCTAGATTCTCAGTTCCATCTCCTTTGTAACCTCCTCCCATATCCCTACTCCCTTTAAAAATGTCCCTTGCTATATTCACACCACCATCTCTGTTAAAAGAAAAGGGGGGAGGGAGTGAGTGAGAGCTCCCTCATAAAGATTCTTTGGTATCCATAGGAACCATTTTAAACCAGTGACATCTTCCTTGGACATCAGACTATAAACTCTACAGGGTGAGAGAAAGTATAGAAGACATCACTAAATCAGTAACTGGCACTCAGTCATGTTCTGTGGTGGGAAGTCATCACCATTGTTCAGGAAGAATAGAATCCATCACTTCCTCTGTGTTTTGTATAACAGAAGGCAGTTGTTAATTGCCCTTTCCAATCCTTTTCCTCTGCTGTTTTCTGACAAGGGTTTGGGAAGAGGTAGGGAAAGCAATTGATATGATATGGTTTCTGGGATGACAGAAAAGTCTCTGTTCCCCACCATCACCTCCAGCCTCATTTCCAAATATCTCCTCTCTCCATTCTGCTCAGTAATGCCTAACATTTCTCAATTAGAGATTCATGCCTTTGGCTTAAGAGCTCTACCTTTTTGGGTGCTTGGGTGGCTTGGTTGGTTAAGCGCCTGCCTTTGGCTCAGGTCGTGATCTTGGGGTCCTGGGATTGGGTCCTATGTTGGGCTCCCTGCTCAGTGGGGAGTCTCCTTCTCCCTCTCCCCTTATCCCTCCCCCTGCTTGTAGTGTCTTGCTCTCTCTCTCTCAAATAAATAAATAAATCTTGGGATGCCTGGGTGGCTCAGTGGGTTAAGCATCTGCCTTCAGCTCAGGTCATGATCCCAGGGTCCTGGGATCCAGTCCCAAATCGGGCTCCTTGCTCAGCGGGGAGCATGCTTCTCCCTCTGCCTACTGCTCCCCCTGCTTGCATGCTCTCTCTCTCTGATAAATAAATAAAATCTTTAAAAATAAAATAAAATCTTAAAAAAAGAGAGAGAGCTCTACCTTGTTAAAAAGCAAACATCCCTGGAAGAGTTAAGATCATTAAAACTTGCATTATTAATCATTTCTACCATAACAACCAGTTCATTAGATCCTTTCCTAAGAGGGACAGAAAAAGGATAGAAAAGGAGCTTGAAGACAGGAAGGAGGGGGAAGCTGTGAGGGGAGAGAGATTTTACAGTTTTATCTAGTGCAAGTTTACTTGCCGGGGTTGATGTCTAGGAGATCCTGCCCTTCCCCCAATCCCACCTTTTACTTACATGATAGTTTAATCTTTCAATAAGAAAAAAAAGTAATTTATTTTTTTTAAGATTTTTTAATTTATTTGACAGAGAGAGACACAACGAGAGAGGGAACACAAGCAGGGGGAGTGAGAGAAGGAGAAGCAGACTTCCCACTGAGCAGGGAGCCCAATGCAGGGCTCAATCCCAGACCCTGAGATCATGACCTGAGCCGAAGGCAGACGCTTAACGAGGACCCTGGGATCATGACCTGAACCGAAGGCAGATGCTTAACGACTGAGCCACCCAGGCGCCCCAGAAAAAAAAAGTAATTTCTTACAAGTATGTATTTCAGTATAAGGAAGTAAAGCAATATTCAGAGTAAAAAAAGTAAGAATTTAAAATAATAAAGACATGGCTGGGGGCACCTGGGTGGCTCAGTCAGTTAAGCGTCTGCCTTCATCTCAGGTCATGATCCCAGGATCCTGGGATCGAGTCCTGCATCGGGCTCTCTGCTCAGCAGGGAGCCTGCTTCTCCCTCTTCCTCTGCCCCTGCTTGTGCTCTCTCTGTCAAATAAATAAATAAATAAATAAATAAATAAATAAATAAATAATCTTTAAGACATGGCTGGGCCAGTAATTGATAATGAATAATACCTTTTAATAGTATGTGATGAAAATAAAACTGAAATCATATTCAATTATATCGAACTTTTATCATGTTATAACACAAATTAAGTCCAGAAATTTTTGTTGTGTATATTTAAAAAATTCTATAAAAACACAAACTTATGTCTGAGGAGAGCCTTGTAAGAAAATAATGGAGATATTCGGAATTAAAGGACTTGTTAATGTAATCAGTTAAGTACTTCTTCAGCCTTTCCCAAACTGCTGAGGTATTAAAAAGCAGACCTCTGCTTCTTCTTCTTCTTCTTCTTCTTCTTTTTTTTAAGTAATCTCTGTCCAACATTGGGCTTGAACTCATGACTCTGAGATCGAACTGCATGTTCCACCAACTGGCCCAACCAGGCGCCCCAGACCTCTGCTTCTTAATGGATGCTTCTCTCTGTGAATTTTAACACAATGAAACATAAATAAAATAAGTATTGTACTTGCCCCTCCCTGTTGGTGGTATTACTCAGAAAATAAAAATCTGCCTGGCAGGAAAGGGACTCTGGCATAAATATGAGTGAAGAGAAAGGATTCTTTCAAACTCTTACATGTCTCTGGCGATCTAAACCACATCCTAAACCTAGAGGTCTGTTCATTGCTGTGAGACAGGGTAGTACATGAGATCAAACCCAGGATTCAAACAATATTCCTCAAGAATAACCACCAGCTTTTGTCCTAAGTCCACTCCTCTACAGTGTTTGATGCATATTCTAACCTTTTGAAAAATGAGGTATGCTAACTTTGTGTTTATTATTTGAGGCTCAATATCACTTCACACCATTTTTTTTTGGTTACATGAATTTGGGGTATGAGTTCAGCAACTGGGATTCATGGTAGAGTAGTTCTGCATTTATTGACAGTAGAGGGACAGAGCAGATGAAAAAAGGGCAGAGCAGACAAGCCAAGGGTGTGGACTTTGCAGCCAGACTCTCGAGATTGAATCCTGGCATTTACTAGTTACTGACTTTGGGCAAATCACTTTCATCTTCTGTTCCTCAGCTTTCCCATGTGTAAAATGGAGAGAATCATACATGGAGTGGTTGAGGATTAAAAGAGTTAATCATATAATGTACTTAGAGTCTGGCTCATTGTAAACATTCAGTAAGTGTTGGTCATTCTTACTGAATAATCCACAAACTGGATAGTTCAAAAGTGGAGAGTGAAGGTGGTTTAATGCACCGAGACCAAGGAGAAGCAAGCGCTGTGTGTAACTCAAATGTGCTCACAGCACTGAAGTTTAGCATCCAGCAGCCATCCTCCAGGTGTCCTTTTGGCTCTATTCAAGGGTGAAGATTTAAGTCAGCCTGCAATTAGCTCAAAACTCCTGACTGCTAGCCTCAAATATGAACACCTCTCTTGGTCAGGGATCCTCTTGAGGTCACATATAGCATGCTGTGACAACTCCTAAAACAAACCCAACTCACCATTAATCATAAAGAAATTTGTAAAGATGTCTTGGCAGAGAGCTGGGGGTAAAAGGTGAAAATCTGGGGGACACGGTGGTGAGGATTCATGTTGCTCACTTTACAACAAAAACTTCACGCAATTCACCATGGGATGTGTCTATTTTTCACATGCCAGTTGACTCATTTCCTCTCTTTTCTCATACCACCTCCCAGAGGCCTCTCCATTGCCCTAGACAGTTCAGCTGTGGTTCTCCACTTACGTTCCTCAAACAAACAAGAGCCTGGGAAGTAGACCAATAGTGACCATTTCTAATTAATCTGGTATGCCTCTTGGGGGTTCCCACCCTTCTACATGCAGCTTATCAAATTATTCACCCAACACAAATTAATCTCTTTTTTGGGACACTTCTTCTTGAAAATTTTCTCCATCTAAGCTTAAAGCAGACGGTGGGTGCTCAACAAACAATAGTTCCCATCCTGGAGCCACTTGAGCATCTGACAGTAGTTGTAGGAGAGACTATCAGGAAAATGAAAAGGGGAAGGAAGGAGTGGAGATCTTGCATAACTGGGGTAGATTCAGTGTTTTTTTTAATTTTTAATTTAAATTTTAATTAATTTTAAAAAATTACTTCAGAAATTTTTTCTTGCTTGAAGGTTTTTAAGGGAAAGAGAAAGGAGGAGAAAGGTCACAGGATTTTATAAAAATACACCGGTAATATCAAACTGTAAGAACTGGTTGTTACTTTATTCCTAAGACTGTTGCCAAGTAGATGGGGCTTTGACGAAAGACCCAACAGTACTAACACTGCAATATTAACATTTATTTAGAATCTCTTTTGAAGCTGTGCCAGACCTGTTTATCAAGACTGTAACTTCATGGAAGTTCTGGCATGCCTCAAAAACTCAGCAGAATTTTACTATTTCTGCAAATTTAAAGAGCTGCCCTCCCTTATATATTCTAATTCCTTTTTTTAAAAGATTTTATTTATTTGTCAGAGAGAGAGAGAGAGAGAGAGAGAGGGAGAGAACAAGCAGGGGGAGCACCAGGCAGAAGGAAAAGCAGACTCTCTACTAAGCAGGGAGCCGGACGCGGGACTTGATCCCAGAACACGAGGATCATGACCTGAGGCAAAGTCAGACACTTAACCAACCGAGCCTCCCTGGTTCCCCTATATTCTAATTCCTTAAAGGTTTTGACAGCAAAAATTATGTTCTGAGGTAATTAAATGGGTGGAGTTAGCTTCAGGCTGGCATTGCTTTAAGTCTGAAAAAAAAAATGGGGCACTATTGTTTTTGTGGTTTCTGAAAGAATTAGTTTTTACCCGATGTTACTTGCCTTGCATTTCTAAGTAGGAAGACAGCTCATGAGCTTCCTCAGCCCGCAAACAGACTGCCTGGGATCTGGTTCAGCCCCCACCTTTTGCACTCGGAAGAGAGCCCGAGAGGCGATGATGCGCAGAGAGGGCTCAGGATCACCCAGCAGATCTCTCAGATCTAAATGGCCAGAAAACCCAGGTTGGAGGTGAAGGTCTATGAAAATGATCACTGGTCCAGACACCAAACAGCCAACAAGCCTACAGCAGCCGAGATGAAGGACTAACTTTTTCTAAGACTCATCTGAAAGTTATACATTTGTAGATCAATTCCAATTTTGACCTATGAAACTTACTCATTTTTGAATTGCCAAATAGTTTACTCCTTTATAATAACCACACTGCCAAGTAGTCCACCTAAAGTCAAATTATCTGTACCTGTCAAACCATGGCTAAGATTGCTGATTTCTAAGTTCCTGTGTTGGTCCTAGAGGCTACTCTTAAGTTGTTATTCCTTTTAAGCTTTTTCTTAAACTTTTTTAGTTTTTATGTTTCTTAGTGCAAAATAAATACACGTTCATTGTGTAGAAAGTTTAGATAACATATAAGCACTAGAAGAAAATCAGTTACCCATAATTCAACCACCAGAGAAAACCAGTTACGTTTCTGTTTCTTTTTTATATTCAGTTACACATGTGTGCCTTTTTGTTCAAGTGGAACCACATTATACATATTATCTAATAATTTTTTATTTAATACTGCATCATCACTTATCCAAGTCATTAAAATTTTTTTCTGTAATATATTTCATAGCTTTGGGTGCTTGGCTGGCTTAGTCAGTAGAGCATGCAACTCTTCATCTTGGGGTTGTGAGTTCGAGCCCCACGATGGGCATAGAGATTATACTTTTATTTTTTTTAAAGATTTTATTTATTTATTTAATTGACAGGGAGAGAGAGAGAGACAGCGAGAGAGGGAACACAGCAGGGGGAGTGGGAGAGGGAGAAGCAGGCTTTCCGCGGAGCAAGGAGCCTGACGCGGGGCTCAATCCCAGGACCCTGAGATCATGACCTGAGCCAAAGGCAGTCGCTTAACCAACTGAGCCACCCAGGCGCCCCGAGAATATACTTTTAAAAAAATATTTTTCATGGCTTCATATGATTCTATAATATGGATATGCAATACTTTATGAAACTAATTGCTTAGTATTTCTAATCTTGGATGTTTTCCATTTTTGCTATTTTAAATAACACTGGAACGAACATTCCTGTATCTATTTCTGCTTATTTTCATAGGATATATTCTTAGTAGTGAGATTGATAAGTCAAAGTATATATTTACTTAAAGGGTTTGATACATACTGCCAAACTTCCCTATAAAAATGGTGTATCAATCTGTGCTCATACCAGCACAATGTATGATAATGTCAGTTTCCAGGTGCCCGCCCGGCTGGCTCAGTCAGAAGAGCATGTTACTCTTGATTTCAGGGTTGTGAGTTCAAGCCCAACATGGTCCCAGGGTCCTGGCATTGAGTCCCGCATAGGGCTCCCGGCTCGGCGGGAGGCCTGCTTCTCCCTCTCCCACTCCCCCTGCTTATGTTCCCTCTCTCGCTGTGTCTCTCTCTGTCAAATAAATAAATAAATCTTTATTTCTTATTTTTTAATAATAAATAAACTTAAAAAAAAGATAATGTCAGCTTTCCCTTAACATATTTATGTTGAATATTAATTAGAAGTCTTTGCCATTTTGACAGAAAAAGTCATACTGGTATCTCATCATTGCTTTGTTTTATAAACTTTTTAAAAATTATTTTTATTTTATTTTTAAAAGATTTTATTTATTTATTTATTTGAGAGCAAGAGAGAATGTGAGCAGGAGGAGGAGCAGAGGGAGAAGTGGACTTCCCTACTGAGCAGGGAGACCGATGCGGAACTCGATCCTAGGACCCTGGGATCATGACCTGAGCCGAAGGCAGATGCTTAACTGACTGAGCCACCCAGACACACCCAAACTTTTAAGATTCTATTAATTTATTTGAGCGAGAGAGCGCGCATGTGCGTGCACAATTTGGGGGAGGAGCAGATGGGGAGGGAGAGGGAGAAGCAGGCTTTCCACTGAGCAGGGAGCTCCATGCAGGGCTCGATCCCAGGACCTTGGGATCGTGACCTGAGCCAAAGGCAGATGCTTAATCAACTGAGCCACCCAGGTGCCCCTCTCATAATCTTTTTTTTTTTTTAAGATTTTATTTATTTATTTGACAGAGAGAGACATAGTAAGAGAGGGAACACAAGCACGGGGAGTGGGAGAGGGAGAAGCAGGCTTCCCTCTGAGCAGGGAGCCTGATGCAGGGCTCGATCCCAGGACTCTGGGATTATGACCTGAGCCGAAGGCAGGCGCTTAACGACTGAGCCACCCAGGTGCCCCTCTCATAATCTTTCTTAAATAAGGTCCAGCTTCTGCCTATTTTACCAGTTACATATTTTTATTTTAAAAGTAGTGAATTGTTCAGGATTTTATTTTTTTAAGATTTTTTCCCCTCAAGATTTATGTATTTATTTGGGGGGGAGGGGCAGAGGGAGAAGGGAAGCTGACTCCCCGCTGAGCGTGGACCCTGAAGTGGGACTCAATCCCATGACCATGAGATCACAACCTGAGCTGAAATGAAGAGTCGGACACTTAACCAACTCAGCCACCCAGGCGTCTCTGAAAGATTTTATTTTTAAATAATCTTTACACCCTGGACGCCTGGGTGGCTCAGATGGTTAAGTGTCTGCCTTTGGCTCAGGTCATGATCTCAGGGTCCTGGGATTGAGTCCTGCATCGGGCTCCCAGCTCAGTGGGGAGCCTGCTTCTCCCTCTCCCTCTGCCTGCTGCTTCCCCCGCTTGTGCTTATTCTTTCTCTATCTCTCTGACAAATAAATAAAATCTTAAAAAAAGAAAGTAATCTTTACACCCAACGTGGGGCTTGAACTCACCATCCGAGTTCAAGAGTATCATGCTCTATCGACTGAGCCAGCCAGATGCCCCCAGGATTTTAATTTGGTTCTATACTTTTGGGTCATGAGGCTTGGCATTTCATGGCATTTTCTAATTGTAGGACTACTACTTAAGTGGGAATAAATAATTCTTTGAGTGCTAAATCCTCAAAGCTGTACAGTTATTGAAAATTTCCACTCACTGACAATTCAGGAAACCATTTACAGGATGGTTGCCTTATATGACTATAAACCTCTGTATTACTAAGTCCTGCCACTTCACAGGACAACTGCTTATAGAAAATAGGGTTGCAGTCATCTCTGTGGATACTTGTGAGCTATTGCTATAATTTAGTAAGATGGTATTTCTAGGTGGAATCAGGAATTGTTCCTGAGACACTCATCAAAGCTGGTTTCCAGACAAATACGGTCGTGACCTTTCCTAATGGGGGGGGGCGGAATTGGACTGGGATGAAACTGTCATTCACTTGAGATCTCCAAGGTCCTTATTACTGCCAAAGTCAGGCTCTCCAGTTCCCAGGGTCTCAGCTCTGTCAGAGAGCCTACCCATAGTCACCACCTCAGATCCCTTTTGAAATGTGAGGCACCCCAAACCAAACCCAAGTGTGTGATCACTCACCGTTCTCTATCCAGTCAGTGCCCTTCATCCTGAGCTCACTGTGATCCACGTACTTTAATAAGAGTCCTAAATGCAGGATAAAGTCAGTGAGGCTGTAGTCTGGCTTCAGCTCTAAGCAGTTGGCAGAATTGGCCTTTTGATAATTAGACAGATTCTAAAAACTTGACTTTCAAGTGCCTTATAGTTAGCTAGAGATAACAGCCCTTTTCTCCAAAGAAGTGTTTTCAAGGTCATCTTCATAAAGAACGGGGATACTCAACAACACAGTTTGGGAAAATATAGGATAAAGTGACTGTAGAAATGAAAGGAGTGTTTATACCTACAAATAAGACTGCTGCTCTTCTGATAGGAAGCTTTGCCTTCTTGGAGAACATCAATGTTTGGGCGAGGAGGTTAACTTTCCCCTGGCATTTTTTTCCCTAAGTGGGGAAAAAAGAGTAGAAAGGAGTGAAGTACACCACTGTTTTTGTCAGCCTCACTGTAGTTTCCAGAGCCAGGGACCGCCAGACATTAGACACATAGAATATGGCACTTGAAATAATAACTGCAGTTGCTTAATGAACGTTATGCCACAGTAACAAGTCCCTAGACAAAGTTACACCCTCTGGATACACTGTGCTCACACCCCCTCATGCCCCAGATTGTGCCTATGATGCCTCTAAGTCCACCTCTACTTCTCTGTATCTAAGTCTTCTCTGTTCCCTCAGCTCTGCCTTGAGCTCTGCCTCCCTATCGGCTCTTCCCAGATCGCTCTTGCCTTCCTGACCTCACTCTGCTCTGAGCATTTCTGCAGGTACCCCTCTCTTCACATATCATTTTCCATCTTGAGTTTCTATTTAATTTTCCAGAGGTTTTATTGCCCTTACTGGCTAGCAAGCTCCCTTAGGAAGTTTATATCTTTGCCATGTTTCTGGGTTCTCCACGGCCTGTTGCATATTGGATGCTTACTGGACGAATAAATGTACCTCTCAGTGGCTCTGTTACAAAGATAGGCAGCTCAGGGATAGGAAGAGGACCATCAGCCTCTATTCCCATAGATCTTATAATGTCACATGGATAATCTCTAATCTTATGCATTGAGAGCACTGAATTTCTGCTGTAAATACTGTCATCAGTGCCTTGGATATAGGTTCGGGCATAGGTCAGAGAGATAATCCTTAGTGGCAAACCTGACACAATGGTACTGTGCAGGTTCCTAAGCCCGTGAGTCTGATCAGAGGAGCCTGCACTGGATCCTAAACAGGTTTCACAAATGGAAGACTCCTGGGAATAGTCAGTCCTCGTGTCTTTGTAGTAGGATCCCAGCAGTCCTAGAGTCAGATGTCCAGAAAACCATGGATGGGCCCCCTGAAGATGCCCTGGCTCCAGCCTGCCCCTGAGATCAGCCCCAGTAGTCTTTGTCAAGTTTGTGACAAGAAGGATGTCATCTGGGTCCTAGCAGAGCCAGTGGCATGCTGTCATCATGCTCCATGGTCTACAACAGCATGGCAACCCTTGCTTGGGGCTCCCTAAACATGCTCTAATGGAGGGTAAAACAATCCACTATATCCAAGAAAAGGATGAGAGATCATTGTAAAGGCAATACACAACTCCAGTTTAATTCACTCCATGAATAGTTTTTTGAGCACATACAATTATCAGCCTGACCCCATAGCCTCTGACCCAGGTTAGGGGGGCTCCCAAGAATTCAAAAGAGAGTCTTTTATATGAGGAAAGGTGGTAATAGAAAGTGCACTCTGTGACTCAGTTGGGAGGAAACTAGAGAAATAGATTCCCAATACAAGACAGTTCATGGATATCAGCTGCTGATGTGGAAAGGGATAGGAAATGTTTCCTTTATGTCGTTTTCCTCCATTAAAAACTACATCAGAAAAAATAAGTCTGCTAGCATATAAAGGAGTGAACAAGCCATTATTGCTCACATACAAAGAATTTGCAGACTGCTCCAGCTTCGCGAGGGCTGATGTACCAGGGATCTTTGCAGTACACTTCTTGGGGCAGCTTCCACTTCAGGAACTGGGCACATATGGTTAGGACTTGCCTGCTCTCCTGTGAAAAGGATTATCAAAGATCAGCATCTTCAAACATTTTTTAGCTGAGGTAACCTTTCTTCAAATAAAACTGGCTAAAGTGAGGGCAGGGATGGAAAGGAACCAGAGACCTACCCTCCTTCAATTTCCTCAAACAGTCCCCCTAGCGGGGGCCATGAACCCTACAGAGTTGTGGGGAGGATGTAGAAGCCTCTGCTCTAAGACAAAAGCAAGAGCTCTCTGGTGTAATACCAGAGCAGGGATTGGCGCTGGGTTCCTGCTACCCCATGCGCGAGAGATAGGGCTCCTCTGCCCGCTTGCTGCTCCATGTCATTCTTCTGTCACTGTACACAGGGAAGCGTAGCTCCTTTTCTCACAGTCCTTGTGCAATCTCTGGCTTGGAAGGCATTCTGGACAGTACTGATCCCCTCCTGATCCAGATGCTTGAGCAAAATTTAGCAAGTGGGCTTCTTCTCTATTCACAGCTCTCAGAATGCCTCCCATGTACCACACACCACCTCTTATGAGTATTTTCAAGCAAGTTTCTTGTCCCAGGTCCACTAGATTTGGGCCATTAAAATTCCTTTGGGGACTGATGGGAATACAAGCTAGTTCAGTTACTTTTATTATTTGTAAATATCTAGTAAAGTTAAAGATACCCAGATATTCTACTTCTGGGTTTACGCCCTCAAGAAACTCTCACACAGGTACACAAAGAAATACGTAAAAGAATGCTCACTGCAGCACTGTAATAATGAAAAACTGGAGACAATCTAAATGTCCAAGAATAGGAGCACTGGAGAAATGTGAGGATATCCTCAAGATGGAATTCTATATAGCAGTGAGAATAAATGAACTGGAGCCCACACTGTGGGCAAATCTTACAACACTAAACAAGCGAAAAAGAGCAAGTTGCTAAGAGATTTATAAATGATACAACATACAAAGTTTTTTTCTACATGTAACATTTTAGAACATGAAAAAAATATTACCACAGAAGTGATAACAATAAAATTCAGGATGATAGTTCTTGGGGGAATTCAACTGGGGATAGGTGCATGATTTATTCCTGTTTTATTTCTTACAATGGGTGGTAGACTATGTTCTCTGTGTTAGTGATTCCTAATCTGTTTGATACTGGATTTCACCTCTCTGCTTAGGCTACCCTCTGAAGAGCCTTGAAGACAAGGCTAGGGATCGTTCAAGGTTTGAAAGAAAGTAAGCCCAGAGCCTTGCCTGCTCTATGCCTTGCCTGATTACCAAGGGCTGAGAGGGGTTGGCTGGGGGGGGGGGGGGGGGGGGGAGATGAGACGGGGATCAAGGCATCCACATATCCGTGACTCCTACAGGGCAAACTTTTCCATCAGTTGGCTGGAAAGCTCTACTCTATACTTTATTGGGGTCTGAAATAGTTCATATTTCTTTTTTTAAAAAATATTTTTATTTATTTATTTGAGAGAGTGATCAAGTGAGAGAGAGAGAGAGAGAGAGAGAGAGCATGAGCAAGGGAGGAGCAGAGGGAGAGGGAGGAGCAGACTCCCTGCTGAGCAGGGAGCCTGACACAGGGCTCGATCCCAGGACTCCGGGATCATGACCTGAGCCAAAGACAGATGCCCAACTGACTGAGGCACCCAGGCAACCCTGAAATATTCCATATTTCTGGTTACAAGACCATAATATTTCCCCCAGATTAAGGTACCAGGGCCCACCATAATCTTAAGTCTTGTTTTTGATCCTGCTTTTATTTCTGTAATGGGGAGCATGGGTAGGGGAAAGCTCCAGCATTTTCCCAGAATTCTTGCAGCCTAAATACACCTCTGGACTGTTGTAACTGGTGGTCATAGTTAGCACATTGGAATGGACAGGCTCCTGAGGTATGAGACAGTACTAAAGATGATGACATCCTACCCACAACTCTATGGCAGAAACTTTTGGAAGATTAAGGAGATGTAGAGGCTTCTCTAGATTGTCAGAGAAGCTACTATTTCTGACTTAGCCTCAAAACAAGTCTGTTTGTCTAAAGGCCAGAAGGCAGTTCTCGAATGAAAGAAAAAGATAATGGAATATTGTCATTGTCAACAAAAAAAGAGTTTGTTGAATTTGGCACTGTATTTAGGCTCTGTGCTAGGCTAAATATTGGGCTACAAAAAGAAATAAGGAGTAAGATTTTTCACACAATTCACTTAGGCAAAATAATTGAAATGTAGCCTGTGCTGTAGGAAATGGTGAATACAGTCCCTGCCCTCAAAGATGGAATGCTTATTTGCAGATTTGGATCTGGATTAGAAGTTATTCGGGCATGAAAGCTGTTAACAGGGGCATTACCTCAGCTACTGCATCATTTTCATCCTGAGAATACAGAAGTAGTGGGACCAGGCTGTCCAGGACTTGATTCTCTACACTCTTCTTATCTATGTATTTCACAGACTTTATGGAGGCTCCAAAGAGGGTCATGGAGAAACGATGAACATCAGGTCTCATCTACAAAGGGAGTATCCAAAGGGTAGCAAGTCACTGAAAGTGTTCATGCTTAACTCATAAGGGCTAGATTGGTTGAAACGCCAGTCCTAACATGAGGCTATTTAGCTATAGGTAGCTGAGGGCAAGAAGCCAAATATATATAAAGATAGCATGACCTGCTGCTTTGTAATACTGGTTGTTCTCTCACTCTGCAAATGAGAAATGTAGTCAGAACAGCTTGTGCCTGATACTAGTATTAACTATTTACATAAGCTGTTTTGCTGAAATTCAGAATCCCAGCCTTGCCATGCTTGACTCTTCTGAGGACATGGTTCATTGTGCTCCATGTATTTTTTTTTTAACCTTTGGGATTTGGAATGGGGACATATGTATAGTCCACCACCTTGACCCAGTCCTGATTGTACCTTGAAATACATCTTTTCTTATACAAACTCCTTCCCCAACCCATGATCAGGGTGGTACCCTGGCAAGTCTCTACATCTCAGTTTTTTTTTTTTTTTAATCTGAAAAACAGTAACACCAGTCCTACTAACATCACAAGTTACCTTGAAGGGTCTTAAGAGAGGAGATTTCAAAGTGCTGTGAACATAAAAAGAACTATATAAAATAGAGTATATTTATTACTATCCCAATTTCTATTTGCTGTTATGCCAGTTGCCCTCCCCTAGGAAAGTCTCTCCTCTCTCATTGTCTTACATCACCAAACAGGGAGAGCAGGGTCTTCATCATGGCTGTCAGGGTGGTGAAATCCATTGTCCCAACGAGTTGCAAGAGTATCTGGATGGCCAACAAAACAATCTTCTCGTCGGTTTCACGTAAGAGGTCTAAGATGCACGGCAACAGGCTCCTGATGCCTTCCCTCTGTGTGCGCAAAGGGAGTGCACCATCACCCTCCTAACAGCACTTCATCTGGTACCAAAGTAGGGCTTCCCAACTTTACTCAGTACCTGGTGCTTGTTGAATGTTTGGTAGCGCTGGCCAGTTGAGAACAGAGAAGTAAAGAGGGCATGACTGCCCTCTCAGTATTGGCAGGGCTGATATGTAGATAGGGGGGCAGGGGTGTTGTAAGTTGCCTCATAAGGGCAGAAGTGGGACCAGGTGGGACGGTCCAGTAACAGAGACTTAAGATTAATGTAAGAAATTGCTTACAATGAGAGAAAGTGGAATGGCTAGCTCAGGTCATAGTGAGTTCTCCAACATGGAATGTATCCAGAGGCAGTAAGATTCCTTGCAGGAATTCAAGCAGAAATGGGCTGAGGACACTTAAGTGTCCTTCCCATTCTGAATTAGGATTCTATTCTTCTGAAACTCCCAAAAGGAAGCAATCTCAGAGTTTTAAAGTTTAAAACATACATGTAAAAAGTAAATAGAATAAGCACTGCATCAAAAACTAATGATGTAATATATGGTGATTAACATAACAATAAAAAAAATAAAAAAAAAAAGTAAATAGAATAAGGCAACAAGTATTCGTGTATCCAAACAACCAGAATTAACATGCTAGCATCTGTCATCTTTGTTTCAGATATATATACATATTTAAATATTTAAAAAAATAGAACTCAAGTGATAAAATTGAAGGCCCAGGGATTGATCTTTCCTTCTGACCCAGGCCTAGTTTCTAGCTAGGCCTACAGAAAATGAGCTCTCTTTCAACATGAATGTTAGTAATCCTTGTTTAGATGATACACATCTTGGGAGCAGATATCATGGTCTATCCAATGTACTCCTTAGGGCAACATGGTACAAGACATAAAAGGACACCCAAATGTCACCCAGGCTGTGATGGGAGGGTACCTCCTTACACAAATTATAGATTTCAAATATTATGAATATATGTGACTTGGACTTATTTCTTATGATTTCATGAAATACTTAAGTCAGTACTTACATATTTCCTAGGCATAAAATTTAAAAGGTACAAAGGGATGTATTCCTACTTGCTCCCATTCCCAGGCTACCCAATTTCCTTGTTGGCTGTTACCAGTTTCTTGGGTATCTTTCTGGGGTATGTTTGATTTGTGACTTACGAATCAGTGGTCTGGGGGCCCCTCCTACCATCTCCTGGTGTTTGATAAGATAGTGCAGTCCCTTTAGGGCAAGAAATTTGAAGACACTATTTCCATGATGTAGCCAGTCTTTCAAGCGGACAACAGAGTATATGCTGGGCAGTCTCCTAGCCACTGGACTCTGGAGAAGCTGAAAGAACCCAGAAATCAGCCAAAGAAGTTACCTTTAAGCCCTTTTTCATGAGGGGAGCCACCTTCCCACCAACTCCAAAATGTGTATTTTTCCTTTGAAACCTCTACTAGGTTACAGGGTGATGCTTACACAGTAGGTATCTAAGGAATGCCGAATAATGAATATATGGCAAGAAGAATGTCAGTAGGCTTGAATCTGAAACTATTTCTGTCCCACATCTGAAGTGGATCCTGGCCTGCCATGAAGTTGGACAGGGCCCAGGAAGGCAGGTACTGCAGCTTTACAGGCTTCCTGAATCCAGCTTCTAACGAATCTTACCTCCACGAAAAATCCTGCAGATGTGAGTTTATGTTTATCATTCCCTCGGTTAAGAAGAGGGACCAACAAGTACATGACTTTATGTGCAAGGAGGTGATTTCTTTCCAGCAACGCACTGCAAAACACAACACCCAACAGGACACCTCTTACAAATGCTCCTATCCAGACTGCATTCTTCCCAGGGCTGGGGACCCTCCAAGGATTTTGCCCAGCTTTAGGTGCATAGGATGGTATGGTGGTGGCAGGACCTCTGAAAATCTGCCTGGCATTATGGGTATTTCCCTAACCTGTGATGTTATCCAACGTTGGTTGCTGTTTTAACTAGAAGGGAGAAAAATACCTAAAGCACTGCTGATTTAGAGCATGGCAAGGAAGTCTTACTTGGCAAGGAGAGATACTCCCTGAAGATGGCACTCTTTTCCTTCCAGGAGGGTCCATCCTTTATTCTTTTCCATGATGTTGAATTCCTGCCAGCACAATGTTCTGAGGAGGAGAGTCTTTGTAGACTGTATGGCGAAGCTAAATCAAACCAAACCAGTACAAGTGAATAGAACAGGTCCCTTCAGCTTACCAGCACACAATCACCCTGCTCTCTCACTGAGGAAGGCATGCATTAATAGCTCTGGATGGTACTTCTCTTCTTTCTAGATTTCCCCAAAGACTCTTAATGTTCTAATAACTTGAAAGGCCTTTCACACAAATTTTTAGCGTAAAGAAATCTAACTAGATTTTGTTTCCCTGGGAGTGTGAAAAGAAATCTATGATAAAACAAATGATATGGGATGCTAAACCCATACCACTTTTTTAAAAAAGCATTATTTAGATACAATTTATACCCCCTCAAAAAATTTACCCACACTGCTTTTTACTTTTTTCTATTTTATTTTTTTTTAAAGTGGGCTCCACGCCATCATGAGTTCAATGAGGGGCTTGAACTCATGACCTGAGATCAAGAGTCAGATGCTTAATTGACTGAGCCACGCAGGTGTCCCCCACATTGTTTTTTAAACTACCCCCACAACTGGGGCCAGTAGAGCATGTGACTCTTGATCTCCAGTTCAGGAGTTCAAACCCCACATTGGGTAGAGAGATTACTTAAAAAATAAAATAAACTATCTCTATTACTTGCCGAACTAGTATGCTTGATATAACACTAAAGAATCCTAGAACTAGAGGGTCCTTGGAGAATACCTAGCCTGACTTAATTTACAGATAGGGAAACCAACGCACAGAACAACAGGAAGATTTGCCCAAGGTATGTAACTTGTTCAATGAATGAGAATTAGAACTCAGTTCTCCTGACTTTTAGTCAGGTGTTCTTTTTTTTTTTTTTAAGATTTTATTTATTTGATAGAGAGAGAGACATAGCGAGAGCAGGAACACAAGCGGGGGAGTGGGAGAGGGAGAAGCAGGCTTCCCGCTGAGCAGGAAGCCCAATGCAGGGCTTGATCCCAGGATCCTGGGATCAGGACCTGAGCCGAAGGCAGACACTCAACGACTGAGCCACCCAGGCACCCCTACTCAGGTGTTCTTAAATAATCCACATTCTTTCTTTCTGAAAGAAAGTCATGTGCCACCGTGACACTAATGAATTTCTAATGAGTTTATCTTGGCACCAATAAAACAACCAGACAACCAACCAGTGAGAGCCCAGAATGATTCCTGGGCATTTCATCCTGACGTCCCATGATAGCAGACTGTAAGCTCTCCCATGGCTGGAACCACATCTTGGCTATCCATGTGTCTACCACAGCGCCTAGAGCTTAGTGTTAGTTAAGGTCAATGAAATCACAACAGGCATTACCACAAAGGGGTGACCTCTGAAGACATTTCCTGTTCTGTGTACAGGCCACTTGGGATGGCGACATCAGACATGGTGAGACCGATGCTGTGGTGTATCTGGATGAGCAGTGTCATGAGAAGCTGAGGAAAGAGTCTGAATGTAGCTGCTTGGAGCCTGTTTCCCACAAACACCTCATAAAGGGCATCTGTTGCCTGCGGGAGAAAAGGTACACCATAGAGCTGAACTCTGGCTAGCACAACTCCTTACTTTTGCTTTACTTCCTCTTGTGCCTGAGCGTTAACTGACTGAGCCACCCAGGCGCCCTGATGTGATATTTTTAATATATAAACTCTTTTTATGTATCAGCAAGAAAAAAATGTAAAGGCTACTCAAAGTGGGGGCCACACACCAGCAGCACTGCATCATCTGAGAGCGGGTTAGAAATGGAGAAACTCAAGCCCCACCCCAGACCTGCTGGATCAGAATCTGCATTTCAGTAAGGTAATGACTGTGGCTTGTGTGCATATTAAATATGAGAAGCTCTGGTGTACAGAACATGAGCAGACAAGTCACAAAATATAATGGCCAATTAAAAAACATATACAAGTGTTCAATCTCACCAATAACAATAATACAATTAAAATAATATTCCTTTTTCACCTATCAGCTAGGCAGCAATGAAAAGGCTAGGAATGCTCAATGTGGTAAGGCGGTAGGTAAATGGGCATTCTCATATATGACTGGGAGAAGGCAATGTTTTAGAGGACCACCTGGGAATTCTCAGAAGTTTAAATAAGCCTACCCCTTGAGCTAGAAATTCCCCTACAATGGCCTTTATCCTAAGAAAGTAAGTAGGGGGTGACTGGGTGGCTCATTTGGTTAAGCGTCCAACTCTTTTTTGAAAAAAAGATTTATTTATGTATTTTAGAGAGAGCATGGCAGGGGGGGCAGAGGGACAAGGAAGGGAGAGTCTTAAGGAGACGCCACACTGAGTGGGGAGCCCAGGGTAGGGCTCAATCTTACAACCTGAGTTGAAACCAAGAGTCAGGTGCTTAACTGACTGTGCCACCCAGGCGCTCCAAGCAGCCAACTCTTGATCTCAGATCAGGTCTTGATCTCAGGGTTGTGAGCTCAAGGCCAACATTAGGCCCCACACTGCATGTGGAGACTAATTAAAAAAGTAATAATAATTGGGTATGTATAACAACATTTACATATGCATGATTAAGTTTACTGTAGCACTGTTTTAATGGCGAAAGTTCGGAAATTGTCAAAATGTTCACTAAGAGGAAACTTGGAAATGAAATAAAAGGTTCTGTACCATGTTACATATTATCTATTTTTAAGAAGGTAATAAAAAATAAATTACTATGCAGCCATGAAAAGGATAACAGATAGTCATATTTTGACATGGAAAGTAGTTCATATATTGTTAAAAAAGCAGGTCATCAGGCAGTATGTGTAATTTGATTCTACTAATATATACATACAATTTTATAGGCTAACATGATTAAATATATACCTGTATCTGACCTAACTCCTAAAACTAAGATAACATTATAGGGATTTAAAAAAAAAAGGTATAAATCCACAAGAACAGAGAGAATAGGAGAGGATACAATGGCAGATTAGAGATGTCAGAATAATTTCAGAAGCTAAAGAAAACCTATATAATAACTTAGGTCAGGGAAAGCTGAACCATAAGCTGGTAGGGAAGAAAATAAAATAAAAAGTATATATTAATAGTGGGGGAGGCTGTGCATGTAGGGGACAGAGAGTAGAAACTTTGTACTTTCTGCTCAATTTTCTTGTAAACCTAAAACTGCTCTAAAAAAGTCTACTTAAAAGGAAAAAATGGGGAAAAAAAGTATACCAAATAAATACATACACAAAAAATTTATATATGTATAAACCCTTCTAGAAGGTTCATTTTTAGGGAGATGATACAGCTAGGCTAAGAATGGTCTTTAGATTTTTGGAAGATTGTTTTTTTTAAAAAAAATCCAAAGAATATGTTATGGAGACTATATGGGGCCTGAAAACCTAAAATATTTGCCTTCTGGTCCTTTACAGAAAAAGTTTGCCAACCTCTGCTCAAGGAGGACCTTTTCTTTCTGTGTTATATTCTTCTGTATTATTTGACTTTTCTCTTTATGAGTTGTGTATTACTCTTTAACTATGATGAATCTTTTATTTTATTTTATTATATTTTATTTTAAAGTACGCTCCATGCCCGAGGTGGAACCCAGTGTGGGGCTTGAACTCACAACCCTGAGATCAAGAGCCAGACGGTTAACCAACTGAGCCACCCAGGTATCCCAGATGATACATATATTTTAAAGGATAAGGGAATATTTGGGGCGCCTAGGTGGCTCAGTCATTAAGCATCTGCCTTCGGCTCAGGTCATGGTCCCAGGGTCCTGGGATCGAGCCCCACATCGGGCTCCCTGCTCCATGGGAAGCCTGCTTCTCCCTCTCCCACTCCCCCTGCTTATGTTCCCTCTCTCGCTGTGTCTCTCTCTGTCAAATAAATAAATAAAATTTAAAAAAAAGTTATGATAAGGGAATATTTAACCACATTGATTAAACCAAACTTCATTAAACTACTGATACCTTCACTCTCCCGAGCCCCGTCCATGTCAATCCCTTGGTAGAGACATTATAGATTTATAAATGGATGACAGAAGCAAACTTTGAGAGGGATGAAGACAGACACTCTCCAGATGGAGTGTTGGACCAGTCATCCCAAGAGATGGAGCATGTTGTGCTGAAGTTGGGAGGGGCAAAGCTCAATGGCTTACAGCAACAGCCACATAGGCCATCTTCTCTTGGGTGGGCGCATTATGGCATTTCTGCAGCTTCCTCAGAAGTCTCCACAGAATCCAGGTGGTGCTGGGCAGTTCTACCTCCAGAGTTCTCCACAACTCAGCCAGATGCCTAGAAATCCGGAAGAACAGGAGGGTTCAGGAGAATGGCTTATCCTAAGCCCACCACGACCACAACCTTCCTAGAATCTGGAATCCAATCTAGAAGCGGTTTTCCTTTCCGCTCAGTTCTTCAAGGTATCAAAAGACTATCTGACTTCATTACAGTTACTCTTAGGGTTGTCTTTTGTTTTTTTAAGATTTTATTTATTTGTCAGGGGTGGGGGCACCTGGGTGGCTCAGCAGTTGAGCGTCTGCCTTTGGCTCGGGTTATGATCCCAGTGTCCTGGGATCGAGCCTCATGTCTGGCTCCCCACTCAGTGGGGAGTCTGCGTCTCCGTCTGCCCTGGCCCTGCTTGTGCTCTCTCACTCTCTCTCTCTTTCCCTCTCTCTCAAATAAATGAATGAATGAATGAATAAATAAATAAAATCTTAAAAGAGAGAGAGAGAGAACAACCATGGGGAACGGCAGGCAGAGGGAGAAGCAGGCTCCCTGCTGAGCAAGGAGCCTGATGTGGGACTCAGTCCCAGGACCCTGGGATCATGATCTGAGCTAAAGACACTTAACCAACTGAGCCACTGAGTGGCTGACTGAGGCTGCCCGAGGCATCCCACTCTCAGGGTTTTATAATCTCAAGTTCCTATGCCTCATCATGGACTTCAGGACAAACTGGTCCTAATTTAACTTTTCAGTCTCCCAACTTCCCTGTCACATACATACCTGTGCTCTGGCTACCCCAGACCATTCACCTTCACAAACTAACAATGGACTTTGACAGCGCTACCTCTACTCATCTCATTTTCTTAAACTAGAAGGCCCTTTCCAAAACTCTCCCCTGTCCATCAAAACCTTCCAGGTCCAACTCCAATGTCATCTCTTCTGTGAAGCTTTTGTGGCTTCTTTACCATGTCTCACATGAGGGTTCTCAGAACACTTTCAAAAATTTTTTTAATTTTATTTTTTTCAAAATTTCTCCTGTATAGAGGTTGCTTCAATCTTACATGTGCTATTTTCAGTTCTCTGAATGTGTCTTATCTGTTCCCTCTGAAGGCAGGGGTTATGCCTGGCTTTTCTTCCATGAATCCCTCAAGGTCTAGCACAATGCCAGGCCCACAGAAGGCATTCAAGGTAGATTTATTCAACCCAGTGTGTGGTCCTCAAATTTTGGACAAGTCCAGGCCCAGAAATAAAGCTTTGATTCACTTTAGAAAAGATCTCTTCTTTCTCTCTCTCTCTTTTTTAAGATTTTATTTGACAGAGAGACAGAGAGACAGACAGTGGGCACACAGAAGGGGAAGCTGCAGAGGGAGAGGGAGAAGCAGGCTCTCTGCTGAGCAGAGAGCCCGATGTGGGGCTCGATCCCAGGACTCTGGGATCATGACCTGAGCCAAAGGTAGATGCTTAACCGAATGAGCCACTCAGGTGCCCAGAAGAGATCTCTTCTTGAAGAAAGACAGTGTGTAATAACTTTTTTCTATTGTTGACTCAAAGGTAGGGCCTGAGTCATATATATATATATATGTCACACACACACACAAAGAGTATATAAACACTGTAAAGGAGCATTATGGGGGCGGGGGGAAGATTGGGAGTTACTCATGGTTTTACTCCATTGTCATATTTTCGTAATCTACCTAGGTATCTTTGTGTGCTAGAGCAAGTGTGGTCTTCCAGTTGTCTATGTATCAGAATCACTCTAAAAACTGAGAGGCTTAAGAACTATTCCAACATTTCACTCCCTACTCTGATAATTCTAATCTGTGAATAAAACGAAGTAAGAAGGTCCTAAAGAGAAGGTCATTAAGGCAACGTGAAAGGCTGAAAAGTCTCATAGCTGGTGAAGTGGACAATAGAAAATGAACATTCATTCTTGGGATGAAATTAAGAAATTCCTATACTTACTTATCCTTGTTTATTTTCCTCTCTGAATTCCTGAGGGAGTAAATGAAGTAATTTGAAAAGCTATTTATTGTAAAAGAAGTGTTTCAAAAATACTTTTGGTCTGCTGCATAGTTGTAAGTGTGCTGGGAATGCATCTGAATTAGGAAAACACACATTAGCCTAAAAGGCAATGGTTTAGATATTTTAGTGTGAAAAAAATCATCCGGAGAGTTTGCTAAAAATATGGGACAGGTTTTGCCTCCAGTGATACTGATCCCGTAGATGTGACATGGTTTTTGTTTGCCCATCATCCCTTTGGGAATGGGCATTCATTAAGCTGTTTCATACCTTCCTTGTGTTTCGTTTTGCCATTCCTTCTGTCTGAAATGCCTTTTCCACTGCCCTGTTCCACCTTCTACTTGGCTAATTTACGCTAAACACTCAGCTTGGGGCAGCCCTTCTTTTAGAAATTCTTCCCCAATCTTTCATCTAGTTAAGTCACCTCCTATGAGCTTCCACACAACTCTCTTATTTTGCTTTGGGATCCTGTTATTAGTCTGTGTCTACTCCCAGACCGTGTGCTGCCTGAGGGCAGGGTCCCGGTCCTGTCCCTTACCTCTCCAGGCCAAACGGTACTTTGCACACAGCAGATGCTTTGAACAGACTCCTAAAAACAATCATCCCAATCTGCATGTAAACCAACTAACAGACTTTAGGTAAATGATCAAAAACATAATAAGAATGAAGTTCCCGGACTATGCCATTTTCATTTCTAGCAGATTCCACAATTCTCATATGATCTAAAGCAGTAGGTTCTCAAATTCATCCAAGAGCTAGAACAAATACAAACAATAAAATAATGCTGAAGTTACACTTTAAAAAAACTAAGTATATTTAGTATTTTGTACTAAATCATATGTTTCATGAAAGGATCTAGTGTAGATATGCTGAAGCAAGTAGTAAAGATTTAACAATAACATATTAGAGAAATATATAAAAGAATATTCTATTTTATTTTGAAGATTTTATTTTTAGGTAATCTCTGCACCCAACGTGGGGCTTGAACTTACCGCCCTGAGATAAAGAGTCACATGCTCTACCAAGTCAGCCAGGTACCCCAAAAGAATATTTAAAAAATAGATATATATTAATTCATTTTTCTCTTTGGATGGGTAAAAATCTTCCTTTATTTGATTTAGTGGTAGAGCGTCTTAAGTTCAGCTTAAACCAATCAAAATCAGCAAAAAAAAAATCACTAAAAAAAATCAGCACTACACCAAGACACTGTGAGAACCAGTCACTGAGAGTGGTTTTCAAACAGTTTAAAGCTAAGAAATCTTTTCTTCAAATACAATAACTACCCAGAATCACAATATATAAGGCAGACAAAAAGAGATGCCACTCTGGGGCATCTGGTTGGCTCCGTCGGTAGAGCATGCAACTCAATCTTGGGGTCATGAGTTTGAACCCCACGTTGGGCATAGAGCTTACATTAAAAAAAAGAAAAATAAGAGACAGATGACGCTCTCTTTGAAGGGGGTGGGAGCCCAGAACCTTTTCCTAAGGCCTCATTGCCTTCCCTAGAAAGGATCTCCTGGAACTTCCAGGGTATCTCCAACTCTGAAAGCCACAAGTCTTAAAAAAAGCATCTTGTTTGTTCCTCTATATGATTTATTCTTATTTATGGGTACATTTTTATTTTCTTTTTTGTGTTTATGTTTTTGGCTAAATCTCTCTCAAGTACATCGCAGACATCATGATCTTTACCTCTAAATCACTTCAGTAAATTGATCTCCTAGGAATAAGAACATTTTTCTGTATAACCACATTACCATTTCATACCTAAGAAAGTTACATTAATTCAGTAATCTATTACAGAGTCTATATTTAATTTTCCCTGGATTTTTTTTTAAGATTTTATTTATTTATTTGAGAGAAAGAGTGAGAGAGAGAGCACGAGAGGGAAGAGGGTCAGAGGGAGAAGCAGACTCCCCGCCGAGCAGGGAGCCCGCTGTGGGACTCGATCCCAGGACTCCAGGATCATGACCTGAGCTGAAGGCAGTCGCTTAACCAACTGAGCCACCCAGGCACCCTGGATTTTCCTTTTATAACTTTTATTTTCATCCAGGATCCAATCAAGTTCACATATTGTATTTGGTTATGTCTCTTTAGTGTCTTTTTATTTAGAATAGTGCATCAGCACATTTTTTATTTCACGTCATTAACTTTTTTGAAGAGTTCAGTCCAGCTGTCTTATAAAATGTTCTTCATTCTGGATTTGTTGGATTGTTTCCTTATATTTATGCATTATATTCTGACTTACATTGCAGGCATCTGTCTATATCTTATCTCTTCTACAAGAATATCATTAGATTTTTGAGAGCAGCCATGTTCCACAATACCGGGGGCTGTGTCACACACCCCAGTTTAATTCAGAGGCTGTACCAGGTTCTGTTACCTGTCATATGGTACTGGATGACACAGAAGGTGGCTGATCACTGTATCTGTGTACTTGGGCCTGGAGATAAACAAACTCACAGTATTTATGATTTGTCGTCGGACTCTAGGCTGGCTGATTATGGATAGCCGGGCACAGACAACTCGCATAATTTCTGGCACCTGAAGAAGGAAAACAAATCACTAAGACCTTAATCCTGTGGGACAATGACGGTTACCGAAGATACTGTAGCTATTTCTGAAAGGTCCTGGGGGTGTCAAGAATTTTTAGTATTTAAAAGAGTATTATCAAAAATACTTAAGGGGCACCTGGGTGGGCAGTCAGTTGAGCGTCCCACTCTTGGTTTCGGCTGTGGTTGTGATCTCATGGGTCCTGATCTCATGGGTTGTTAAGAATGAACCCCACATCAGGTTCCGTGGTCAGCAGAGTCTGCTAAAGATTCTCCCTTTGCCCCTCTTCCCCCACTCTCTCTCTCCCTCCTCAAATAAATAAATCTTTTTAAAAAAATATTTTATCTATTTATTTGAGAGAGAGAGAGCAAGAGAGCGCACAAGCAAGGGGGAGGGGGCAGAGGGAGAAGCCAGTTCCCCATTGAGCAGGGATCCTAACATGGGGCTCAATCGCAGGACTCTGGGATCATGACCTGAGCTAAGGCAGACATTTAACCGCCTGAGCCACCCAGGTGCCCCAATAAATCTTTTAAAAAAAAACTACTTAAAATAGATCTGTATGTATGTATACATATATAAAATGATTTAGAAGAACTTACAAGGATATTAATAATGCGACTTTGAATGATGGGATATTTATTTTTTTGCTTACATATTTTTTAATTTCTCCTTGATGACTATATATTGATTTTATAATAAACCAAACTAGTAAAAGTGTTGCAAGGAAGTTGGGATTTTTTTCCACTCTGCTCTGAGAATGCCAGAGGAAACCATACTTGCCTTTCACCCAGAGATGTCTACCATACTCAGGAAACAGGAGCCATTGGGCTTTGTCCATTTTTCTGCTTGACCTACTCTGCCCACTCCCAGACTCATGGCTTCAAGTCTCTGTGGAAATGTCAGCCTCTCAGAGAGGCAGCCCTCAACACCCTTATAATAAAATGGCCCTCCTTATGCCCAGTTGCCAGAAGCTGGTTTAAGCTGGCATGCGATGCAATTCTGGCCAATGAAATAAGGGAAAAAATGTATTAGTGGCTTTTGGGAAACACATTTCTCCCTGATTAAAGGGACGAAAGGAAGGCAACATCTCTCTTCTTTGCTGGATACAGCCTTATTTGCTCATAAAGTCTGAAACTGCTGTGATCACCTTATGACTACATGAACGGGCAACATGGCAGATGGAAAAGCCCCTGCCTCTTTGATAACACTGCTGAGTTGCTGAACCAAGCCTAGAAAATACTTCCAGACTTCTTATTATAGAAGAAAATAAACCCTTTATTTATTTTTAAAGATTTATTTATTTATTTGAAAGAAAGAGAAAGAAAGAGGCGCATGCACGGGGCTGGGGTAGGGGCAGAGGTGGAGGGGGAGAGAGTCGCAAGCAGACTCCCCGCTGAGTGCAGAGCCTGATGTGGGGCTCCATCTCATGACCCTGAGATCATGACCTGAACTGAAACCAAGAGTCAGACGCTTAACCTACTGTGCCATCCAGGCGCCCCAAAGATAAACCCTTTAAACTTAAATTGTGTGTAAGCTTCTCAGTTCGTCTTTTTTACAGCTGAAAGCACACAACTGATACAATGGCCCATCTCACCATGTTCTCATCACATTATTCTTTTTGCATCTTTACTATTTTAATAGGTTAAAAAGTAGCTTTTCATCATTTTAAAATTAATTTTTATTTTTATCAAAGTGCAACATATATCAATTTAAAAAGTCCAGTGGTACTGCAAGGCTCTCTCCTGCCTATTCCCCAGGTATGCTTTCTAGGGACTATTATTTTTATCCTTTTTATCTCTTTCAGTATATCCTCTCATATTTTTTTTTTAAGATTTTATTTATTTATTTGACAGAGTGCACGTGAGTACACAAGCAGGGGGAGCAGGAGAGGGAGAAGCATGCTCCTTGCTGAGCAGGGAGCCCAATGCTGGGCTTGATCCCAGGACCCTGGGATCATGACCTGAGCTGAAGGCAGACACTTAACCAAATGAGCACCCAGGTGCCCCTCCTCTCACATTTCTAAATGATATAATTATATTGTTATTTCTTGCTGTGTCAACTTCAGATATATTTAAATAAAATCTGTTGATTTTAGCTTACTAAGTTGGCCTCCTCCTAGGATTGATTATGGCTTGATTTTTTAAAGTTTGAATCCTTTAATTAGCCTGGATGAGGATCTAAATTTGAAGTTACCTTCTCCTAAGTGCTAATTATATCTTCCCCCAAAACTGTACCGTTCTGGAAAATATGGGGCACACCTTGGATTTTAAAACTATTCATCCCTAGTTGCACACACAGTGGCTGTTTATTACATGCTTGTTGAATGGAAGTTGACTAACCCATGGATCCTGGGCCCATTCAGTTGTTACTCTCTGCTAAACAGGAGCAGCTGAAGAGACCTCAGCAGCTGCAGGAGGGGAGAGGTTTTGCCAATATTTCAAACCCAGCAAATGGCTACTGAGCTTTTTACCTTCTCAAATCGGGACTCTGCATTTTTCACCAATGTTAGCAGCAATTCTCCTGCTGATTGCTGGGTGCAGGGATGTTTCAGATTTTCCAGGCTATCCAATATAGTCATTACAAACTGGCAGAGCTCATTTGAATTGAGAAAAACTTCGAAGATCTGAAATAATTCAGAGAAGATGAATTTTCTTTTTTTTTTTTTAAAGATTTTATTTATTTATTTGACACAGAGAGAGAGAGACAGCTAGAGAGGGAACACAAGCAGGGGGAGTGCGAGAGGGAGAAGCAGGCTCCTGGCTGAGCAGGGAGCCTGATGCGGGGCTCGATCCCAGGACCCTGGGATCCTGACCTGAGCTGGAGGCAGACACTTAACAACTGAGCCACCCAGGTGCCCCGAATATGAATTTTCAAAAGACTTAGTATGATAGAACCCTGAATAAGGGATATTATCTTAATTTTGTTATGTTAATCAGAGAGGCATACAAATATGTACAAGGCTGTTATTTCTGTCTTGTTTACAAAAGTAAAGAACTAGAAGCAACCCAAATGCCAACTAGGGTCTGTGCATGGCTTTTTACAGTTCTGATTTTTAGAAAGAGGTTTCACTACTGAGATCCTCAGAAAGAATCACACTTTTATAGGAACAGAACTAAAGGAAAGGCCTTAGTGCTATACAGCTCAAAGGGTCCCAGCCATAGCTAAAATACCTTGGCTGGAGAAAATATATTAAAAGAATGTTTCATTCTGCTTCTCACTGTACTTGGCAGTGTATAAGGTCCTTCACATGATTGTAACAGGTACAATATGCTGGGCACTTACTGTATGACAGGCACTAAGCAAAGCATTTTCCATACAATATCTCGTTTAACCCTTACAACCCAATTTTTACAGATCCTCTGTACAGATAAAGAAACAGATGCACAGAGAATTTAAACTGCCTGAAACTTTAGACCCTAATTGAGTAAAATTTGTAGGTTTTCTTTTTTCTCCCATCCCCTAACAGAATGCTGGGTATCTAGTAGATGCTTAAATATTTGTTGAATAATGAATACATATATTAATTAAAAAGTGTATGGTTTGTTGGATCAACTACCAGCCTCTAAAAGCTTTTTTTGTTTTGCTTGTTTTTTTGTTTGTTTGTGTTTTAGCAGTTCCTTTTTGGACAAGAGTTTATACTTGCAAGAGGCTAGCTAAGGTTAGGAGAGCAATCAATGGGAGCAGAGCTTGTCTGAAGAGATACTCAAACAGTGATACTGGGCCCACTGACAGATTGATCTAAACCATTACACTACTAGAGCAAGGTGTACAAGAGTCACAACCATGGTGCCTTGTCTCCAAACTGTAGAATGTTTAGGGAGCAAATTCTCTGGGCAATCTTATATGTTTAGTTTTATAAGAAATTACAAGAACTTTTCCCAAAGCGGTTTTACCAATTTACATTCTCATGACAAAATGTATGAGACTTCCAGTGATTTTCCCATCCTCTCCAGCATTTCAAGTTGTCTTTATTTTAGTCGTTCTGATTACCTGGGCAATTTTGAAGGGACAACTGTAGAACTGTTTAATACTGTAGAGTTCTAGGAGTTCTTGACACTTTTTCATTGCTCTTCTCAAGCTTGGGTGATTTTTCTTGTCATAGCTGGTATCTGAGAAGAAAACATGAAATATTATTACTTTCTGGCTTATTTCTTTTTTCTTGATTTTGCAAGTCTGGTCAATCCCAACGTTGAAGTGAATCCTAAGATCTCATTCCTCTTATCTTTCTTACTTGGATAAAAATGCCTGGGGGATGGAGTGTGTGTTAATGTGAAGGCTGATTTTTTTCCCCCTCTGTTGTCGGACAACGTATTAAAAAGGCTGAAAGAAAAAGAAAAGCGCTTTTTGAAAGAACAGAACTTTTGAGTGATTTGGAAGTATAACCATGCCAAACCATTCTGCCACTGGTGAGGACTTTTGAGGGGTTTCGTTATGAAGCTTAGGTCCCCATTAAATCGTAGTTTTGCAGTGTCTGATAATTCCGATGTCAGAACTCTTTCTATGTCTAGTTTTGCTGATTAATGAGTCTGCCAATACTCCCTCACAGTGCTTTGTTTTCATGTTGCGTTGTGACTTATGTTTGTTGGAAATTTATTTATGGGAAGTCTTTGAGTGCTTGGTTGAGGATACTGTCTCTCCAACTGGAAAATAAACCTGGGGGAAGGGACTTCGTCTTTCTTGTTCACCAAGATACCCCTAGGACAGTAAGTGCTTCATAAATATTTGTTGAATGAATCATCAGTTGTATTTCCTTGGCTATATGTCTTGGTAGACAGTCCTCATACTCAGTGTTGCCCAGAGATGCGATGGCCATTTTGGGAAGCACAGTGCTTCCTTGGGATAAAGAAGCCCAGGCAGGGCAACTACTTGGTGGGGCTAGATTAGACGGAGACACAAACGCTGGCGGGACACTGGGCTAGATATCTTCTAAAGTCTCTCTTACGGGTGCCTGGGTGGCTCAGATGGTTGGGCGTCTGCCTTCGGCTCAGGTCATGATCCTGGAGTCCTGGGATCGAGTCCCGCATCGGGCTCCCTGCTCCTTGGGAGCCTGCTTCTGCCTCTGCCTCTCTCTCTGCCTCTCTCTCTGTCTCTCATGAATAAATAAATAAAAATCTTAAAAAAAAAAGTCTCTCTTATGTGGGGCGGGGGGGGGGGGACAATGGTTCATTCTTTGACCACAGTGGCCCTTTCTATTTTTCAAACTCAAGTTCATACCTCCTTCTCCCTCTGCTCAATATGCTCTTCTTACATCTTTACCTGGCTAATGTTTATTTTTCAGGTTATCTTCAGAGAGGCTTTTTCTGAACCCCACAACTAGATGGGATTCTTCCTCATGGCCCCTGCAATTCCCCTTTAGCACTTATCTTTGTTTATAATAACAGAGTTATTTGCTGATTCTTTGATTGTTTGATTCCCCCACTAGACTACATGTTATGTAAGGATTGCACCACTTGTGTTCTGGTTACTGTTAGATCCTGAGTAAGCACTCAGAAAACATTTATGGGATAAATAAATAAATTAAGGTCCAAATGATGGCAAGAACTTCTTCCACTTCTGACCAAACTAATCACTCCAGTTTGTCCACAGGGCCACATGTTTAGCTGCTCCAACTCCATGGCCATGCAGATGGCCGACACTGATGGGTGTGATCCAGTGTTCTGATTTTGATTATTAAGTCAGGGTTCCTTCATCTCTGCCTGTGGACTATGTACCTTTCTTTTTATAAACTACTGTAAGAAATATTTCTAGAAGGGGGGAATGAGAGCACAAGGAGGGCCGGTGCCTGCACTGTGCTAGTGGGGTGACTCAGGGCCTCGCTGCCTTCAGGAGTGCCTTACACTTCAGCCTTAGGGTGATACGCAGCAGGTAGTGCATGCCCTCTGCGGCCTCCTCTGCTACCTCCTTCACTGGGTCCCCACACAGTAGTGCCATCAGAGCCACCAGGTGCCCAAGCCTTTGGAATCGCAGTGGAAGCTAGTTAGGAAGAAAAAGAAAAAATGCCATTAGCATACAGGTGCATTTTATGCCTTAGATTTGAATTCTTGAGAACTAATTCCATTTCTACCCCCTACTCAGGAAAGTGCAAGAGTCACATTTAGCCCTTGGATCTCTTTAGGGTAAACATTTAACATGTGTAGATACACTATGTCCATCAGATGGTATTAAATAGGACAAAGTCTAACCTAAATCAGCAATCTGAAAAATGAAAAAGACGTTCATTCTAAAAGGATTAAATTCTACTTTAAAAAAAAAACACAAAACACTAATTTCTTGTTTAAATTGATGACCTTCCGGGGTGCCTGGGTGGCTCAGTCATTAAGAGTCTGCCTTCGGCTCAGGTCATGATCCCAGGGTCCTGGGATCGAGCCCCGCATCGGGCTCCCTGCTCCGTGGGAAGCCTGCTTCTCCCTCTCCCACTCCCCCTGCCTGTGTTCCTGTTCTCACTGTCTCTCTCTCTGTCAAATAAATAAATAAATAAAATCTTTAAAAAAATAAAAAAAATAGAAATAAATTGATGACCTTCCCATATGTTCCAAATGGAACAAAAAAGCTAAAACCTGTTATTTCTATTAACATTAATTGTTTTTAAATCAGGTTTTTCAAATGTTAGAAACAACAGTGCCCTTATCTGCTCAGACCTAAGGAAGAACATTTTAAAGTGGTGTTATATAGGAAACGATTATGTTTCGATTTTGTACTAGTTAAAAAGTGCTAAATTTAACTACCTGAAATTATTGTTTACAGATTAGTGACAAGGGCAGATGATAGGATCCAGTTGGGCTGTGATTTCTAGATGCCCTCAAACATAGAGTACTTCTAAACTCAAGTCCAGCCAGAAACTATTTTGCTAACATGCAGAGTAATCTGTATTTTTATATGTGATTTCTACTTTTATAGGCGTGTTTTAAAATAAAACACATTTTTATAAAAATGAAAAATAAATAGGGGCACCTGGGTGGCTCAGTTAAGTGTCTGCCTTCCACTCAGGTCATGATCCCAGTGTCCTGGGATCAAGCTCCACATAGGACACCCTGCGTAGCAGGGAGCCTGCTTCTCCCTCTCCCTCTGTGCTGCTCCCCCTGCTTGTGCTCTGCCTCTCTGTCAAATAAGTAAATAAAATCTTGTAAAAAATGGAAAAAAAAAGTTCTTTCTAGTACTGTTTTTAAAGACCACATATTGGAAATAATTGCCCAATAATAAAGAGAACTATGGTACAACCAACTCTATGAATATAACCATTAGGAATCAAGTATCCTAGGAATTTATAAAAAGGTGGGAAAATGTGCTAGTCTGCTAAGTGAAAGAGCTGGATGCAAAGTTGAGGTGCACCATTTAATACAATTAAAAAAATTTGTTTATTGGGGCACCTAGGTGGCTCAGTCGTTAAGCGTCTGCCTTTGGCTCAGGTCATGATCCCAGGGTCCTGGGATCAAGCCCCGCATCGGGCTCCCTGCTCAGTGGAAAGCCTGCTTCTCCCTCTCCCACTCCCCTTGCTTGTACTCCCTCTCTCACTGTCTCTCTCTCTCTCTGTCAAATAAATCTTTTTTTTTTTCTGTCAAATAAATCTTAAAAAAAAATGTTTATTTATATTTTGCCTTATTATGAAAAAATATAATTTAAAATAATGAAAAAAGTAAATTAAAAAAGTAAAAAGTAAATCAACAAAGACAAGTTAGAAAATGAAAGTAGCAAAGATAAATGTTATGAATTTGGTTAGCATGTAGAATGCATAATCATTTGCTCAAGGTAGGCCACAGAGCTAGGCTCGGAACTTTCCCAGGGCTAATGTGGAGGTACACACTATGTCCCATATAATATGATTCACACTGCCCATAAGATCAGCAGCAAATACCCATGCAGAGGAAGCACAACTGTTCCTGGGATTCACTGACGCAAAGAGAAATTTCTTCTGTGGCTCTTTAGAAAAATGGACTGAGATATTGTGAAGAGCAGCTTGTTTCACATCTTTACAGTCAACACAGCAACACCTGCACAAAGCTGTGCCATGTCTTCCATTCACTGACATAACCATTCATCCTGTCAAGAGGACTGAGCGTCACTTATGAACCGGGAATGGTTATGAGAATGACACTTCTGGCCACAGCACTGTGACTGGCACGGGGGATACAAGCTGTGGACGAAAGACAACATCCCTGGTCATGGAGGTGATATTCTAGTTGGAGCAACACAAAATAGCAAAGGAATAAAATGTATTATGTATTAAATGGTCAAAAACGCTGTGGTGAGAAAAGAATGCACAGAAAAAAGACAGGAATTGCTGTTTTAGAATGATGAGGGAAGACCTCACTAATGTTGAAATGAGGGATGGAGCCACATAGAGATCTGGGAGATAAGCATTCCAGGCAGAGAGATAGCAAACAAGCAAAAGAAATAGGAGGTAGATGAGGTAGATGGTATGGCAACTTAAGAGAATATTGTAATTTTAGATTTTTTCTGTGTGAAATGGGAAGCCATTGGAGAGTTCTGAACAGAGAAGGGACATGAGCTGACTCACATTTATTGAATCTACTGTGTGACATATTCTGTGCTAGGCACTGGGGATGTTACAGTGAACAAGACAAGCATAACCACCCATGGAATTTACAATCTCTAAGAGAAAAACAGACAATAAGTCAATAAAGAAACAATCAAACAAGAAAACCTCATCCTAGAAGCCCTAGGAAGGAAAGAGAGTGATGAGACAGAGTGTAAGCATAGATCTATTTGTAAGCAAAGGCCTTTTTGAGGTGGAAGCATTTGAACTAAGCACTAAAGAATGAGGAGGAGTTAGCTATGTGAAGAGTTGGGGAAGGTCATTCCAAGCAGAGGAAGTAGTAAGTGCAAAGGCCATGAGGCAGGAAGAGATTTATATGGTAAGGAATAGAAAGGAGGCCAGTGTCGCTGGAGTACATCAGGGAGTGCAAGGAGGAAGGCAGGAACTAGATCATACAAGACCTTGTATTCTAGGAACCGCTGGAAATCATTGGAGCAAAAGAGTGACATGGGTTTCAAGATGATAACTCTGGCCACATGTGGAGAACTAAAAGGAACTAAAGTGCACACTCATGCACAAATGTTCTCAGAAGGAATAAATAAAATTGTGAATACTATCTCTGGATGATAACAACAACTCAATTAAGTTGATTTAAGAAAAGCTATGGGCCTCCCAGAAAGCTCCAGAAGACTACATCACACAAAATTCTTCCTACTGCTTTCCAGATGTTCACAGACTCCAATGGCACCTAGGTTTAGCACCCTTATATTATCAGTTCTCCCTAGGAAGAAAACTCTAAGGAAGATCTTCAGGGCCTAGAGAGAGATTGTGTATAAGAGGGAGTCATGTGAAACTCTTTAGTCTACAGCCATCATTAGAGGTGGAAGAATGTAGAAGGAAGAACAATGTGATGATGGAATAATAGGGTAGTCAGGGATTGGCTAGAAGTTACTTGTTTTCATTGACTAAAGAGAGAAAAAAGGAAGTAGCATTGTTTGAGGGACTGAACTGACTTCTGTAAGGAAGTGTAAAGTTTGGATGTACTTCCCAAATGTAGGGATCTAAAGGGGTATGTGCACCCCGATGTTTATAGCAGCAATGTCCACAATAGCCAAACTGTGGAAAGAGCCAAGATGTCCATCGACAGATGAATGGATAAAGAAGATGTGGTATATATACACAATGGAATATTATGCAGCCATCAAAAGGAATGAGATCTTGGGCGACTGGGTGGCTCAGTTGGTTGAGCGGCTGCCTTCGGCTCAGGTCATGATCCTGGAGTCCCGGGATCGAGTCCCACATCGGGCTCCCTGCTCAGCGGGGAGTCTGCTTCTCCCTCTGGCCCTCCCCCCTCTCATGCTCTCTCTCTCCCTCATTCTCTCTCTCAAATAAATAAATAAATAAAATCTTTAAAAAAAAAAGGAATGAGATCTTGCCATTTGCAACGACGTGGATGGAACTGGAGGGTGTTATGCTGAGTGAAATAAGTCAATCGGAGAAAGACATGTATCATATGACCTCACTGATTTGAGGAATTCTTAATCTCAGGAAACAAACTGAGGGTTGCTGGAGTGGTGGGGGTGGGAGGGATGGGGTGGCTGGGTGATGGACATTGGGGAGGGTATATGCTATGGTGAATGCTGTGAATTGTGCAAGACTGTTGAATCACAGATCTGTACTTCTGAAACAAATAATGCAATATATGTTAAGAAAAAAAAAAGAAGAAGAAGATAGCAGGAGGGGAAGAATGAAGGGGGGGAAATCGGAGGGGGAGACCAACCATAAGAGACGATGGACTCTGAAAAACAAACTGAGGGTTCTAGAGGGGAGGGGGGTGGGGGGATGGGTTAGCCTGGTGATGGGTATTAAAGAGGGCACGTTCTGCGTGGAGCACTGGGTGTTATGCACAAACAATGAATCATGGAACACTACATCAAAAACTAATGGTGTAATGTATGGTGATTAACATAACAATAAAAAATTTAAAAAAAAGTTTGGATGTACTTCCAATGGGAGAAACAAGAAAGTTAGTGGGATGCCATCCTTTTAATAAGCATGACTGTCAGAATATTCATATCAAGGACAAATTCTCCTAAGGAAAGTTAGCATTAGGACCTAGAATTCCTACCCCACCAACTTTTCTTCCAATTCCCAGGCCTTATTATGCAGACTGGAGAAATGATGGCTGGAGAACAGGAGAAGCTCTAGTGCTTGGAAGATCTACTAGGAAAGAGGAAAGAGATTCACAGATGAAGAAAGGAGTAGATAGAGGAAGGAGGATCTTACTTTTGAGGAACTCCTTTCAGAAGGTATGAGGGAGCACTCAGAAGAACTGAGAAGCGAGAGAGTGAAAGAGACAAATGAGAGGATTGATTGATATTTTTTAAAGATTTTATTTATTTATTTGACAGAGAAAGACACAGCGAGAGACGGAACACGAGCAGGGGGAGTGGGAGAGGGAGAAGCAGGCTTCCTGCTGAGCAGGGAGTCCAATGCAGGTCTCGATCCCAGGACCCAGGGATCATGACCTGAGCTGAAGGCAGATGCTTAACGACTGAGCCACCCAGGTGCCCCCAAATGAGAGGATTTAAAAAAGAAGCCACAGAACCTTTCTCTGTGAGATGCTAGGAGATATTTATTTATTTATTTATTTTTAAAGATTTTATTTATTTATTTGAGACACAGAATGAGAGAGAGAGAGCGAGAGAGCACATGAGAGGGGGGAGGGTCAGAGGGAGATGCAGACTCCCCACTAAGCAGGGAGCCCGATGCGGGACTCGATCCCGGGACTCCAGGATCATGACCTGAGCCGAAGGCAGTCGCTTAACCAACTGAGCCACCCAGGCGCCCGCTGGGAGATATTTAAATTGATTTATTTACATTTGCTGCTGGGCTTTATTACTTTAAATATAACACTGCACAGAGTCTAAGTCACTGTGGACCCTCAGATATTTTCAGGTCACATTTATTCCTTCCTTCATTCAGAAATATTTACTATATTGTTATGTTCCAGCTCTTGTGTTAAGCAACAGGGATGCAAGATTAATAAACATAGTACCTAGCCTCAAACTGCTTAAATTTTAGAGGGGCAGATATGTGAATAATGCCAAGTGCTATGGTATTACATGGCGCACCAACTGAATCACCAGTTCAGGGTCACACACTGGAGGGAAATAGGCAGTAATAGGATGGCTTTGGATCCTTCTTCTTGTGTGACTGAAGGGCTGCTTACCTTCAGGCTGAGATGTCTGGATAAGCACTTTAGAACTTGAGCCATGCTGGCTGTGGCCCGTTCCCGCTCATGGTCTTTGGTTGATTGTAACCAGGGGTCCATTTGCTGTGAAAAATAAAGGAAGCCTAAATGGTTTACCAGGAAGATTTGGGATAACACCTTTATTCTGTTTTGAACAAAATGTGGAGAGAGAAGGTTCACAGGTCACTACTATATCGAAAATGTCTTCCTAAATGATAAGCCAGTTTGGGTTGGAAACGAAAGTGGTGGGAAGGCAAATAAGGTATAAAGATTTGGGATCAGGTGGGTTGGCTTCCAAAGACGCTTACTTTCTAGATTTATTTTCCCTTCATCCCACTTTCTTCAATTATTTATCCTATTCTCTTCCTTTGGAAGGAAAGAAAATTAATGTCATGCTATTAAAAAACTCTGAGGATGGAGAAATTGAATCTGCCTGTAACAGTCAGGGAGGGATTCCTGGAGACGATAACATTCACCAGTAGGAGCTTCATAAAAAAGGTGACATTTTATGGCCCCGTGTGGCCAAAGGAAAAAAAAAAAGAGGTGGGATTTTCAGTAGAAAAAACAACTTGAATTAAGCTGCCAACACAGGAAAGTACAAGGTACAACTGGATAAAGGGGAGAAACCCAATCTGGCTGGAGTGTTGATGTACAAATAGAAGAGGAATGAGAAATAATGTTAAGGTCAGTTGTGGCAAAGATAAATGTCCATCTACACTTAGGCACAGATGATTAATAATAGTTTAAAGGGTTATTTCTTTCTGGAATATCTGCATCTTAAAAAGGGACAAGAGTGTAAGACGCTTGAAATGCAGTGAATGCGCTCCAATGAACAAATCCCTAATGATAGAATGGCATACGCTGGAATGGGTACAGGTGGGGACAGGCGGTTATTAATGACCTTGAATCCTGCCTGGTAGGCACCTGCCTATTCACTCACTCATGAGGTGCCTCTATTCTCTGGTCACTGATTGAAACCATTCTATGGTAGTAAGCAATAGGAATTTAAGGAATAATAATAGTAACCATTAAACCACTAACTGAAGGCCATTTATTCAATATTCACCATAATTATTACCTCAATTTAAAAGTGAAGAAATAAGACTCTGAGAGATTATATTCTTTGCTGAATTTATAACCCATGAATGGCACAGAGTCAGAATTTGAAGCCAAGTCTGATGCAAAATTGATAGCTGATACTCTCAACTACTTTGCTATTCTTTTTTTAAAGATATATTTATTTATTTTAGAGAGAGAGAAGTGTGTGCAAGTGGGGGGAGGGGCAGAGAGAGAGGGAGAGAATCTTAAGCAGACTCCCCACTGAGTGCGGAGCCCAACACAGGGCTTGATCTCACAACCCCAAGATCATGACCCGAGCTGAAATCAAGAGTCGGACACTTCACCAACTCTGCCACCCAGGTGCCCCTATGCTATCTCTTAAAACTTAATCCTTCCACATTTTCTTCTTCCACTTTCACCAGTTAATAGAAATAGTTTCCCCTTCTCTCTGATATCCTATTTACCTTAAAAATGGTGTCAAGATTTTCCAAATGTGGGTCTTTTACTACCAAACTCTGGAGCATCTCAGAGAATGCTTGAAACGTTTGCCTGTAGAGACACTGAAAAGGCACAGGATCAGTGATGCCCCCACCCCCACCATGAAGTTCCCTAACACTGTACACTTTTTTTTTGCTTCTACACAGAAGTTTTTCTTCTTTCCAAGTTTTTATTTAAATTCCTGTTAGTTAGGGGCGCCTGGGTGGCTCAGTCAGTTAAGCATCTGCCTTTGGCTCAGGTCATGATCTCAGGGTCCTGGGATTGAGCCCCATTATCAGGCTCCCTGCTCAGCAGAGAGCCTGCTTCTCCCTCTCCCTCTGCTGCTCCCCTGCTTGTGCTCTCTCTCTCTTTCTGTCAAATAAATAAGTAAAATCTTTAAAACAATTAAAAACAAAAATAAGGTGTTTAAAAAATAAATTCCTGTTAGTTAAGAGTGTAAAATTACTTCCAGGTGTAGAATTTAGTGATTTATCACTTACATACAACACCTGGGGCTCTATAGTTAAGCATCTGTTTCTTGGTTTTCCTCTCTCTCCCCACCATGTTCATTTGTTTTGTTTCTTAAATTCCACATGAAAGTGAAATCATATGGTATTTGTCTTTCTCTGCCTGGCTTATTTCACTTAGCATAATATCTCTCTAGCTCTATCCACATCTTTGTAAATGGGAAGATGTCATCCTTTTTTATGGCTGAATAATATTCTATTGTGTATATATATGCACCCCATCTTTTTTTTTATTTAAGAATTTATTTATTTATTTGACAGAGAGAGAAAACAAGCAGGGGGAGCAGGCAGAGGGAGAGGGAAAAGCAGGTTCCCTGCTGAGCAAGGAGCCTGAAGTGGGGCTCGATCCCAGGACTCTGGGATCATGACCTTAGCTGAAGGCAGATGCTTAACGACTGAGCCACCCAGGCGCCCCACACCACATCTTCTTTATCTATTCATCAGTCAACGAACATGTGGGCTCTTCCCATAATTTGGCCATTGATGATAGTGCGGCTATAAACATCAGGTTGCATGTATCCCTTTGATTTAGTATTTTTGTTTCCTTTGGGTAAATACCTAGTAGTACAATTCCTGGATCATAGGGTAGTTCTTTTTTTAAAGATTTTATTTATTTATTTGAGAGAGAGAGAATGAGAGAGACAGAGAGCACAAGAGGGGGGAGGTTCAGAGGGAGAAGCAGACTCCCTGCTGAGCAGGGAGTCCAATGTGGGACTCGATCCTGGGACTCCAGGATCATGACCTGAGCCGAAGGCAGTCGCTTAACCAACTGAGCCACCCAGGCGCCCTATTTTTAACTTTTTGAGGAACCTCCATACTGTTTTCCAGAGTGGCTGCACTAGTTTGCATTTCCACCAAGTACAATACACACTTTTAAGGCTCTTATCTTGAGATTTTACTCAAAGGCACAGAACCAGTGTAAGAGTACTGGTAGGCAGTTTGTGAGCTGGGGTGAAACAAAATATTCATTTTCTTTTTCTTTTCTTTCAGATTTTATTTTTAAGTAATCTCTACACCCACCATGGGGCTCAAACTTACAACCCATAGATCAAGAGTCACATGTGCCACCCACTGAGCCAGCCAGGTGCCCCACAATACATTCATTTTAAATGGACATCTCAGCATTACTGGGAACTCAGTTAACTGATTCTAACTACATTTGGGAAATTAGTTAGGGTCATCAAGATAGCTTTAAAATTTGACTTGTGACTCTTTCTGACATCTTGAAACAGAAGGGAATAAAGTCCCCTTTGGAAACTGCTTTACCAACCAGCTTACGAGCCGCAGAAGAAAATCAAGGCCCTTGCATTTCCTTCTCTCTGCTTGAAAGCTTCTCCTCCAGAGATATCCAGCTCCTCTTTGCAACTGTCACCTCATCAGGAAGACCTTCCCTGACCACCCTATGTAAAAACCCCCCTGTGCCTCCCAACCACAGTACTCTTTATCCTCCTCTTTCCCTGTTCAATATTTTTTAAAATATTTTTTTGAGAGAGAAAGAGAAAGTGTGCGTGTGAGCAGAGGGAGGGGCAGAGGGAGGCAGAGAGAGAGAATATCCATGATGAGCAGAAGCCTGACAGAGGGCTGGATCCCAGGACCCTGAGATCATGATCTGAGCCAAAATCAAGAGTCAGATGCTTAACCAACTGAGCCACCCAGGCGCCCCTGTTCTATTTTTTTCATAGCACTTATTACCACCTGATATATTTATCAGCAGTTTTATCTCTACACTAGGATATAAGCTCCCCAGATGAGAGAGTATACTGCTGTATTTCTGTTGCCTCTCATCATGCTTAGCATATGGTAACTCTAAAATCTCCTAGTATATGAACACTCATCTTATTTTAAAGCCAAAAGCAAGGAAAGAAGGAATGGAGGGAACAAGAAAGAAGACAAAATAAAGAGAGGGGGTACCTGGGGGTGGCTCAGTCGGTTAGGCATCTGACTCTTGATTTGGGCTCAGGTCATGATCACAGGGTCATGGGATGGAGCCCCATGTTGGGCTCAGTATACAGTCTGCTTGTCCCTCTTCTTCTGCCCCTCCCCCCGCTTTTGTGCGTGCATGTTCTCTCTCTCAAATAGGTAAAAATCTTAAAAAAAAAATAAAGAGAGAGGGGCGCCTGGGTGGTGCAGTTGGTTAGACATCTGACTCTTGATTTCAGCTCAGGTTGTGATCTCATGGTCATGAGATTGAGCCCCACACTGGGCTCCATGCTCAGTGCAGAGTCGGCTTGAGATTCTCTCTCCCTCTCCCTCTTGTGCTCTCTCTCTCTAAAAGAAAGGAAGGAAGGAAGGAAGGAAGGAAGGAAGGAAGGAAGGAAGGAAGGAAGGAAGGAAAGAAAAGAAGAAAATAAAATAAAAAATAAAGAGGGGGGAAAAGCTATTTAATTTAACTGCTTATTTTATTCACCAGACTTGGCTGAAATGATTCTTGGCTAGTTCCAAAAAATCAAATGCACTCTCAAAGGGCCATGATCAGCTGACCTATGGATGGCAAGTTATTAAACCAAAGCAGGAGTTACCTCTGTGTTGTAGGACCCACTTGGCATGATTTCCTGCAGCTGGATAAGAGTCGTTACGGAGGGCAGAGTGATTATACTTTTTGTAATAAGACAGAATAAATCAGCTCGATCTTCAGAGCCAAATAGCAAGTGGACACCTTGGTAGCTAAGAAAAGACAGTTTAGGAATAGTAAGCTAGGAAGACTTTGATTTGACAGTGGTAAGCAGGGGTCGAAGTAACCCAGGGGGAATGAGTGGACTAGTTGGTGTATAATTCTGGTGGAAGAGACAAAGGGCATGCTTGTTAGCCTGTTTAGACAAATCTCACAAAAGGCTGGAGGAAGAATTTCACGGCTCAGAGCCTCCATCCTTGTTCCCTGTCCCTCCCTGTCTTCCCAAGAGGGTACTGGAATGATATGCTTCCAGGCTTTCCTCCAGTTTAACCACAGAGGAAAGCCTGCTATAGTCTAACATGTAAACCATGATTTTCCAAAGGATGTTCTGCTGAATGTTTGTTAGAGGAATGGTGGATGGAACCAAGTTAAAAATCCTTTTAAATAGGATTTCTTGGGGCCTTTAATAAGTTAGTGTGCCATACAAATCTCCAAGAAAGATAAACAGCAGGCAGCCCTTCCAAATTTCTTGGACTGTGGAACTCTACTGTCATGAAGCACACACGAGAGTAACTTTCCACTGAATATACTTTGGACAAAACTGAACTCCAAAGAGGTTCCAATAAGGTCTTTCAGATATGATGATGGCATATATGAAATCAAATTTCTTACACAGAAAATATGCATTTGGCTTCCCCTTCCCTATATAGTTTGCAAAAGTTAAAAGTATGGAACGTGTCAGTTGGCTCTGGTCTTGGCCCTGACCGAGAAAGCAGGACATGTGTAAGGGGCAGGGGGCAGGTGGGTGTCACCTGAGGTCAGAGATGGTAACAAAGACCTCCTGGCGCACAGAGCTCAAGAGAGAATGCACAGGCTCCTCTTCTACCAGCATCTGCAATGAGGGGGCAAAAACTTTATTATTATTTTTAAAGATTTTATTTATTTATTTGACAGAGAGAGACATAGTGAGAGAAGGAACACAGCAGGGGGAGTGGGAGAGGGAGAAGCAGGCTTCCCGTGGAACAGGGAGCCTGATGCGGGGCTCGATCCCAGGACTCTGGGATCATGACCTGAGCTGAAGGCAGACGCTTCAACGACTGAGCCACCCAGGCACCCGGAGGTCAAGAACTTTAAAACAGAGTCGAGAACGTGCCAAGTCCTTGGGCTAGACGATCAAAGATGTAGATGGCCTGCAAGAACCACAGCAGGGACTTCATTAGGTCCTGCTCTTGGCTCCACAGGACCAACAGTAGGACAGTGGTCAGGCCAGGAGTTTATGCTCTGGAGCCAGAGCCTGAGGCCTGGCGCTGCCTCTTATTAGCTGTTTGAGCAGACACAAGTGATTTACCCTGCCCCTCCCCCCACACCTCAGTTTCCTCTTTGTAAAGTGAGGCAACTGTACTGTTTACCATCCCAAGGCGGTTGTGAACACTAATGAACTAATTCATAATTCCTAGTAGCCCTTGAGAACTCTTAGCATCTGTTACTCATTATTTTTACTACTTGTGATTATTTCCAGTTTAGGCATCCTAACTCCTCTTTCTACCAAACAGCAATCTCTACTATAGTGTCTAATATTAGTATGTGACTTGTCCTAGAAAAGGAATAGCTTTCCAAATTCCAAATTGGCAGAGTTTGGAAAGCTGCCTTGCTTTGTTGGAAAAATCTGTAGAGTGACAGAGAGGAAAAAAGAGGCTCTGGAGCTAGACAGCACCTGGGTTTGGGCACTGGCTGTGCCTCTCTCTCCCCTTGTGACCCAGAACATAGCATTTAACTTCCCTGGGCCCGAGTTTCCTGATCTGTATGGGGGAAAAGAGATAAATCTCGGGGAGTTAATATAAAGAGCAAATGTAAATGGTTGTCGTGGAAGCCTTCCTGGGCTGTCTACCCAGCCTCTCTGGATAATTCCCTTGGGTCACAGAATGGGCACCTCACAGCCATGCTTCCGCTAAGTCATTCTGTCCCACTAACCACACCTTATCCAGACAGGAGTAGATTCTTTTTCTCAGCACTCTGGAATTGAGACCAAGAGCCTCAATCTTATTCCGGCTGGCCTACTAAAAAGAGAAAATTTAAAATTTGGGAGCACTGTGCCCTGTGGACAAGGTAACAGAGAGAGCCAATTTTGGGAAGAGAGGTGAGGGAGAGAGAGAGAAATCAAAGTATATACAAAGGAGCAAAGATGAGAGATGGAGAGAAAGTTCTGAGTATGTGACAGATTTTTTTGTTTTTTGCTTTTTTTTCTGGCTTCATTCTCTTCTTGGAGCATGTTGCTCCTCCGGTTACAAGATTCTGGGAACGCTCAGTTATCCTAAGAACAAATCTCCCCTTTGGTGTTTCAGCAGCCTCTTGTGGCTTTCTCTTTCCTGCTACCAAAAAGACTCACCAGGAACTTAGTGTCCAGGAGGCGGCACTCAATAAATATTACTGTGTTCTCTCTCTTGCCCCTTCCTGACTTTTCTCTTTTCTTTCTCACTTTCCAACTCTGCTCAGATCTTGCTGGTGGCCTGATGCTCTTTCTTGTTTCCTCAAGGAACTCACTTAATTTTGTGGCTTTATAGTCTGGAAGGGACAAAGCACAGGCTCTGCCTTCAGCCTCTCAGGGCTCCACTCCCCCAAATCTAGCTGTCTCACGGGCATCACCACTAAGAGCATGGCTACATCCTGGCAATTTGGTGTTAAAAAGTGAGTTCATTATCTTCCTCCTCCAAAGGACACACCTTCCCAGCCTTCAATTGCTGTCAGTGGTGCTCTTTCCCAGGGCTCATAAAAGAGGTGACTTACAATTTCCTTTTCTCCTTTATTCATTTCCTGCATCCAGTCAATCATGATGATGGCCACTGTCTGTGCTGCACAGTTCTGGACTCTCCATCCCTACAGCCACTCACCTCATATGTGGATGAAGGCAGTGTCTCTTAGCTAAGCCACCAGGCCTGCAATTCCTTTTTTCAATCAGTTAGGTATGAAAGGCTTATTATTTAATCACAATTATGCTAACTGCAATGGGAGATTCAGAAGTGAGAGGCTATTTTTTGTTTGTCAAGTATTTGTGTAGTAGGAACCTCTTGGGGTGACTATCCAGATTACAGCAATCATCCTTCTTTGGGAATGGCTTCCAATACACAGAGAGGGATGCCCAGAAGTCACGCCCTTACTATATGATGCTGCCCCCAAACATGCCTAGTTGATGAAGGAGTGGAGAAGAGACCCAGTCTGGGCCAATCAGATTCTTTCTCCCAGAATCTAGAATTTTTGAAGGACAGACACAGACTGGGAGTGGCTAAAGGTCGAGTCATCGTGATAGGAGAACAACCCTGCCTTTGAGACCCCAGGAGTTGTCCTGGAATATACTCTTCTGGAGGCTTGATTGTTAAAAGGCTTAGATTCTAAGGGAGATATCCCAGCATGCTTTTTCTTTTGTTTTTAACTAAGTGAGCCAGAGTTGATTTTTATTGCTCTCTCCAAGAATCTTAACTAATCTTTAAATTTTTTATTGTTATGTTAATCACCATACATTACACCATAAGTTTTTGATGTAGTGTTCCATGATTCATTGTTTGTGCATAACACCCAGTGCTCCACGCAGAACGTGCCCTCTTTAATACCCATCACCAGGCTAACCCATCCCCCCGCCCCCCTCCCCTCTAGAACCCTCAGTTTGTTTTTCAGAGTCCATCGTCTCTCATGGTTCGTCTCCCCCTCCGATTTACTCCCCTTCATTCTTCCCCTCCTGCTATCTTCTTTTTTTTTTTCTTAACATATATTGCATTTGTTTCAGAGGTACAGAACTGTGATTCAACAGTCTTGCACAATTCACAGTGCTCACCATAGCACATACCCTCCCCAATGTCTATCACCCAGCCACCCCATCCCTCCCACCCCCCTACCACTCCAGCAACCCTGTTTGTTTCCTGAGATTAAGAATTCCTCATATCAGTGAGGTCATATGATACATGTCTCTCTCTGATTGACTTATTTCACTCAGCATAACACTCTCCAGTTCCATCCACATCGTTGCAAATGGCAAGATCTCATTCCTTTTGATGGCTGCATAATATTCCATTGTGTATATATACCACATCTTCTGAATCTTAACCAATCTTAACAAAATGAGACATTCTGTCTCAAAGGCCTTAATGAAAGCCAGACAGATATTACTATCTCCATTTTCCAGGTGGAGCTAGAGGTTCAGAGAAGCTAAGTGATTTGTCTCAGATCACACAGGTTGTGCTTGACAGCGCTGGAATTAGAAACTGTGTCTTCTAATTCCTAAAATAAGTCCCTTTCTTCTTCACCGTTCTGCTTCAGGGAGCTCAGACTCTCACCAACACAAATGGGCAGTCTTCTCATGTTAGTTCAGTCTACTGTGAACCATCCATCCTCCGAAATCCTTCAGCATTTATTATCCATAACACTGAAGAGTCTTCCTGAAACGTCATTCTCATCCACTGCCTGCCTCATGGCTCAGCTGATCCAGTGCCTGGTCAATGCTGAGTGTAACTTTATTTACCAAACAACACAGTAGTAGTAGGATTTTGTGGAGGACCCCAGGTGCAGAATTAGGGTGGACTCCCAAGCTCAAGTCTGACATCATTAAGATTCTAGAATCACAGGTCTTAGTGCCCATGTCTGCTGTGGAGCACCAACAGCATCTATAAAGCACCTCCTCTGCCATTCTGCCTTGACATAGCCAGGTAGTCATTTGCCAGTCAAACCCCTACCCCCTGGTCCCTTCTGTCTACCCAATCCAGCACTTCCTTCCAGGCTTACATCAGGAGACCTATCTGGATTAATTTCATGCCAATCTTGTCATCTTTACTCCATATCCTAGTTGCCATTGCATTTCTTCTTTTCTATTGAAGTTCTCAACAGAATTTTTATAGCTTTTTTGACTTTGAGGTAAGACACACAACAAACCGTATGTATTTAAAGTGTATAGTTTGAAGATTTTTGACTTAGGTATGCATTCACCACAAGATAATGAACATATGGATCACTCCAAAAAGTTTGTTTGTGTAAATTTTGTAATTTCTCATTCTTGTTCCTCCCCATTCTACTCCTGTTTTCAGGTAACTACTGATCTGATGTCACTTTACACAAGTTTGTATTTTCTGTAATTTTATTTAAATAGAATCATATGATCTATATCTTCTTGGTCTGGCTTCTTTCACACAGCATGATTATGTTAAGATTCATTCAAGTTGTAGCACGTATCAGTAGCTCATTCCTTGTTTGTTTGTTTTTTAAGAGAAAGAGAGAGTGTGCAGGTGCACGTATGTACATGCAAGCAGTGTGGGAGTGTGGAGGGGCGGAGGGAGAGAGAGAATCTTAAGCAAGCTCCACAATCAGTGCAGAGCCCAGCAGGGTTTGATCTCATGACCCTGAGATCACGACCTGAGCTGAAACAAGTCAGACACTTAACCAACCGAGCCACCCAAGCACCCGTGTTCATTCCTTTTTACTGCTTGGTAATATTCCATTATAAGGATATACCACAATTTATTTATCCATTCATCTGTTGATGGACATTTGGGTTGTTTCTAGTGTTTAGCTATTACATATAGAGCTTCTATGGACATTTGTGTACATGTTTTTTTTGACATATGCTTCATTTTACCTAGGAGTAGAATTGCAGGGTCATATGGAAAGTGTTCTAGTGGGTGTATAGTTTGATCTCATTGTGGTTTTAATTTGCTTTTCCCTAATCACAATGATGGAGCATCTTCGCATATGCTTATTTATAAATCTTCTTTGGTGGAGTGTCATAACACATCTTTTCCCCTTCCTTTCCATATTCTGTTCATAGCTTCTTTGGGTTTTTTTATTTGGATACTGAGGAGGCATGCATTGGCATGGGTCATGAGAAGACTGGCAAATGCCTTACCATTCTTCTTTATAATGGCCCTGGCTTTCCTCTCCTTGTCGATTACTCAGCAGAAGTGCCTCTCCTCCTGGCTGTTGGAAGCTGTACTCTTTTAGTCCCTGCACATGACCTTGCAGGGACTTTGTAGACTTGTCCAATGATGCAATGACCCATGCAATTCTCTCACGGACACCAACTACTTTAACACCTCTAGGCTGTACCTGCTAGCTCAGATTTTGGGTGATACCTGAAGTGGGTATTTTACCAATGGTTGGGCAGATCTAGATGGAGAGTATGGAGAAATTCAGTTTACTTTTGCTGTTTGGGACTTGCATTTGTGGATCTTCTGAGCTGGCTGGTTGAGCCAGGTGTCAGCTCACTGCTGCCAATCCTTATGGAAGTGAGATTTTGGAATCATGACATTTGGTCGGCTCCTATGGCTGCCTATAACCTTCTTCCCGTGGAGTGTAGCCAAGTAGAGAGCTGTATTCATCCTTAAATTGGCAAAATATCATTCTGTTCTTCTTTTTAAAAAATTTTTGCTAGATTTAAGCAGTGTTATTTTTTTTTAAAGACTTATTTGAGAGAGAGAGTCAGAGGGAGAGGGAGAGAGACAATCCCAAGCAGATTCCTCACTGAGAGCGGAGCCTGACGCAGGGCTCGATCTCACAACCCTGAGATCATGACCTGAGCCAAGACCAAGAGTCAGATGCTTAACCGATTGAGCCAACCAGGCACCCCTCATTCTGTTCTTTTTGATGTATTATTTGGAATAGTTTTCAACCTATTTATGAGGTGGTCATTTCCAAATGGACTGTAAACTCTTGGAGGGCAAGGATTAACACTTCCAGGAAATTTGCATTCTTTATTGAAGCACCACAGTATTCTAGATATAGAAGATCCTTGATAATTGTCTATTGTTTAACAAACCTGTTGGCTGGTTAGCCTTCAATTCTGAAAACTAATCATCGGTCTAATCAGCCTTATAGATCTGTGGGTTGGAAAAAAACTGCTCATTTTCCTGGGGTGTGTAAGAAATCTCAGATTCAGAATTCTAAAGCTTCAGAGAAACAGAAGGGGACATTTCACAGATAAGAAAAATAAAGCATCAAAAAGTTAAACACTTGCTTAAGTGCATCACTTCCTTTGTAAAGCCCTTCTGATCTTTTGACATGGAATCAACCTCTCACTCACTCCTCTGTACCCTTACTATAACTGTTTAAACTTTTGTCACAGTCCCTGTGACACTTGATTACACCTTGCTTGGCTTCAGGAACAGGGATCCTGTCTTATCTTTGTAACCTCCATTTGCAGCCCAGACACTGCCTGGAATGGTCAGGCACTAATAAGGCAAAAAATGAATCAGACAGCGGCAAACTGCGGCTGGAGTTGGGTATAAATACAATAAAAAGAATATAACCATGTTTCTCAAATGTAAACTATGTGTTAGGTATCACACTACATGGCTTATGTTTATTTCTTATTTAATACTCTCAATAGCTCTGTGAAAGATACAGCTATTTTTATTCTGTAGATGAGGAAGCTGCGGCACTAAGTTACACAGCTTCCCAAAGTCAAACAGCTGAAAAGAGGCAGAACTGGCACCTGAACCTGGGCACTGAATATTATAGAGTTTGCCTCATAACTATGACTTCATTAACGAGAATGCAGCATTGTCCTTACTGGGAAATTTAAATGCTGTCTCATTTCTAATAATCTTTTTTATTTTTTTAAAGATTTTTATTTATTTGACAGAGAGAGACACAGCGAGAAAGGGAACACCAGCAGGGGAAGTGGGAGAGGGAGAAGCAGGCTTCCCACCGAGCAGGGAGCCCGATGCGGGGGCTCGATCCCAGCACACTGGGATCATGACTGGAGCCAAAGGCAGACGCTTAACAACTAAGCCACCCAGGCGCCCCTCTACTCATCTTTTAGTTGGTTTTCAAGGGTAATTATATTTGTGGAGTACTTTGGGAGTATTTCTCCTCCATGCAAAGATACTGGTATGAGAAGAGGTCAAGGAAATTGGTAATATATATGAAGCCACTAAAACATTTGTTAGTCAAGTCACTGAATTTGTGTGGTCCTGATAATTTGTGATAAGGTCACCATACTTACATTTAGGATACACACAATATCTGCTATGTGGCTGTGAATGAATGATTCTGTGGTGTCATCATAGGGTAAAGTTCGGCTGAGAGAAGACAAAGATCGTAGGAATGTCAGCTTCTCAAGTTCACTCTGAATTTGTAGAAAAATGATAAATGCACAACTATGTATTATAATCTCATTTGATGATTATAGAGGGCTTTTGAGAAGTTTCTTGTAATGTTCTAAACATCTGACATCTCATTCGATCTAGTCTCAGGTCTTTTATTATAAGGAATGAATAAATTACAGAGATGTGGAATTCCTTGTCGACTTGCCCTGTCTGGGTTTGGGACTTTGTTTTCCCTCTCAGCTAGATTAAATGCTAGATTACTAACTGCTCCATGATGGTGCTCCCCACCTTTAGTCTTTGCTTCCCCACCTACCCATCCTGTCTATATACTACTGTCTGATTAAACTTCCTAAAGGTTATCTTTGACTGTTACTTCTAGCTCTCTTGATGTCATTAAAGATTATTTCGAGTCTTTAAGATTCCCTATTAAAACGCAAGTTCTTATTTGAAGAATAAAATCTTTTGTATTATTCTTTTTCTCATTATAAAAGCAGTTATCTATTTATCATAGAAACTTTGAAAAAAAAAGTATGAAGAAGACAATAAAAGACATCAATAATTCCACAATCTTGGGAAAATTTCTTCTCATCTTTCCCTCACAGCCTATAGATAGTATAAACTGGTATAAGCTCTCTGGATAGCAAGTAGCAATATATACAGCCAGAAGCTGACTTCATGGCCTAATTCTTTCTCATCTACATTAGTGTAACAATCAACATTGAATTTCCCTGCTTCAGTTTTGCTCCCCTCCAATCTATTCCCCTAGCTATCACCAGATTCATCTTCACTAAGTGCAAACTTGATCAGGTAGCTCCCTATCAAAATATCTTTCAATAGTACCCATGGAGGTCAAGGCCCTCCCAATGTGAACCCAGCTAACCTCTTCAAATTCATCTCCTCCTTGCCCTGCAGCATTCTGAACTTTAGACAGATTAACTTTTATGCTGCCCTTTTCTGGTTCTGGGCCTTTGAGCCTTCTGAATTCTCTACACTTATTTTGCTTACTAAAATCTGTATATCCTTTAAGACTAGAAAAATGCATCTTCTCCTGAAGCAGCATTGGGTGCCCTTCCTAAGAGTATCCATAAAACTCATGTATATATTGCTATCATGGCATTTGTGATACTCTGACAAAACTTATTTTGTCTTATTCATCTATTTTCCCGCCTGGTTGTGGATTCAGGTCAAGGCAGGGAATGGATTTTCTTTTCTTTCAATTCGCTGCAGCAATCCCAGCCCTTTATTAATTACAAAGAAATGCTTTATAAAGCCCTGCTAACATGAAGTGTAAAGAAAAGTCTGAGTCAAAAGTGAAGACCAACATTCTGGCTTTAAGTGCTTTTTTTCCAAAAACTTTTTATTAGCATTATACATAGAGAAAATGTAAAGTTTGATGAATTTTCCCAAACTAGAAACATCTGTGTATATATATATATAGTCAAAGGAAGTGAAATCTGGATCTGAAAGAGATCTCTGCGCTCCCAAGTTCAATGCAACATTATTCACAATAGTGGAGATATGGAAATAACCTAAGTGTCTGTTGACAAACACCTTCATCACTATCATTTAAACATACCAGCCTTCTGTGAGTTCATCAAACATGCTCTGCTCCTTTCTGCCTCAAGGTTGTTACACATACGATGCCCTATTTCTGGAATACTTCCTCCAATTCTAACTTCTCTTAGTTTCTCCTATTCATTTCTCAGATCTGATCTCCAGGGTTCCTTCCTCAGAAATGCCTTCCCTTGCCCCCAGGTTAAGACAAATTCTTCTGTCATGTGCTCTCACAGAATAAATGAATGAATGAATGTTCTGCTAAACAACAGAATACTGTATTAAGCAGGGTAATATAGATCCATAGCTATTCACCTAGAAAACTTCTTTCCTCCCACCATCTCTGATGTTTATTTTTCTATAATTACATGCATTTGTATGTACAGAAGAAAAAGTCTGAAAATATATATACAAAAATGTTAACATTAGTTATCTTGGGAGAGTGGATTAGGGAAGACTCATTTTTCTCCTTTTCTTTCTTTTCATTGGGATTTTATAGTTTTGTAAACAGAAGCATAAATATAAGTACAATTTATAAATGTTTATTATAAAAACACAAATATAAACATATTTTATAGTCTATAATATCAATTATTTGTATGATAAAGAAATCATAAATGTTTAAAATATTTGTTAAAATGGAGGAATAAGTTGGATGACTCAGTATGATTGCTTGTGCATACCTGTAGCTCACCATCAAAAACCTCCTGGATAGATTGGATCAGCCTCTCAACAATGGCCTCACTGAGGGGGCCCTTTTGGGTCAGGCATCTGAAGCTATCTGTGAGTGGTTCCTGAGAGAGTCCAGCGATGTCAGAGATGTTGGAGTCTAATACTGAAAGAAACACAGCAGATTACATATCTGTATTACGTAGAGTTATACAGTCATAACAGGGAGATCCACTGGATGTCAGGATAGACGTGACCTGGTCTCACCCTTACTATCTGCTCTGCAACCTTGACCAAGTCTCTTCCACTCTCCAAGTCTGTCTTCCCAATTACAAATTCAGTGTTCTCTACGGGCCTCCTAAGCTACAAAAACCTTTAAGAGTGAGCTATAGCAGAGTGGTTAAGATCATGGACTTTACATCTCAGTCTGAGACTAATCTGAATCCTGGCTCTACCCCTTATTAAGTTTTATGACCTTTATCAAGTTAGTTTGCCTCTTGGAACCTTAGTTTCTTCACCTGTAAAACAGGGTTATCACAAGGATTAAGTGAGGTAATGAATACAAAAGACTTATCTAAGTATGTGGTCCATAGTAAGCCCTAATGGTAGATATTATTATTAAATTCAAAATGACTATGACTCTGTGGTGACAAGAGCTTAAAATACAGTAGCAGCCCCTTGCTGGTCTCTTCCTACTGGACCAGGCTGCAGTAGGTGCTTGAGGGACCTCCTTCCAGACCTGGGATATACTTTGATTAAGAGCACAGGCTCTGGGGGCGCCTGGGTGGCTCAGTCGTTAAGCGTCTGCCTTCGGCTCAGGTCATGATCCCAGGGTCCTGGGATCGAGCCCTTCATCGGGCTCCCGGCTCCGCGGGGAAGCCTGCTTCTTCTCCCTCTCCCAACCCCCCTGCTTGTGTTCCCTCTCTCGCTGTGTCTCTCACTGTCAAATAAATAAATCTTTAAAAAAAAAAAAAAAGAGCATAGGCTCTGGAGTTGGTCTGCCTAGGCTTGGATCCTTGCTCTGCCTCTTTCTAGCATTGTGACCGTGTGTGATCTTACTTTTTCTGGGTCTGTTTCTTCATTTCCAAAATGGGGATGATAATAGAACCTACCTCGTTTGGTTGATACAGAGCTAGCACCAAGGAGGTGGTGACAAATATTATTCCTTTGCTGGTCACAGTGATTATGGTGGTATCATTTCCCCTTTCATATAGCTTTACATCCTTACCTCCTCTGTTTTCCAAAACCAAGTTCTTTATTCCTACTGGGGAAACAGTCTTACTATATCCCTCTTACACCCATCATCAGGGTTTCTACCTCTCCACTCCTGTATACTTTTTGCTCTCCTGAATTATAACCTCTGCAAATTCCTGCCACCCACTGTCACATTCTTCTCAAGCAATAGAAGCCCTATCTCATTCAGCTCTCATGCTTCTCCCTACATGATTCTCCTTCTTCTTCCCTACCTTCCCTACTCCTACCTCCTTTGCCTACTAACTGCCACTCATCCTTCAGGGCTCTGCTCCAGGATGCCTTTCTTGAATCTCCTCTTTGCTCATTTTGACCAAGTATCCACCTAACTGCTAAAAAACCTCTTTATATTTGCTTCTTACCCCCACTCCCAATCACCCATATTAAACTGAGTTCCAATCATTTATCTACAAGTACACTGTGTCTACTCCGTTCATTACTAAATCTCCAGCAGCTAGATCTGTGTTTACAGCATAGTAGGACTTCAATAAATGCTTGCTGAATGAGTGTAGAAATGGAGAAATGTGTTCCTCAAATAGTCTTTCCTGTCTCACACACATGCTATTATATCCATCTGGAATGTTCTTTCCTCTACTTCTCACATGGGTTGCTCTTTGATATCCTTGAGGCCTCCTTTAGGTTTAAACAGCACCATCTTAGATAGGTGTTCTCTGACAACCATGGCTTAAAATAGGTTCCCATCTCCCTTATTTTTTGTCTCAGCCCCGTGTATAATTCTTTCATAGTATTAACTACAATTTGTAATTACTTTATTTAATATCTGTTTACTTATTTTGGTACTTTTCAGCAAATTCTGTGAGGGCAGGGACCATGTCGGTCTCGTTCATTGCTGTATATTCAACAACCGGTACTCAGTAAATGCTTGTAGAATAAATGAAAAGATATATTTTATAGCCCAATCAAGGGTCCACCCACAACCAACCACCTTTCCCTTCTCAGAATCCTTCTAGCACTTAGACTCTGTGCAAGTCTGTAGGATTAACTATCTCAGTTTCCTGTATGTCTAGACTAATATATTTTATCTCATTGTGCCAACCATTTTCCAAGGTCTTAAATTCAGGGACCAAATTCATTGTCAAAGTCTAGTTGAGGACTCTCATCCAGCAGCTTGACTCAAACAGAGAAACCCTTTTCTCCACCTCCCTTCCTTCAAAAAAAAAAACAAAAAACTTTTTCCCCTTTTACCTGTAAGTTCAAGGCTACTTGGATCTTTTTTAATATTCTCTAAGTTGCTCAGCTGCAAATCCACACTCCCTGAATCATTGTCAGAAGCACAGGGGATCACTACTTCTTCCCAACTACAGATCCTAGGAATGAAGAGGGGATCAGAAATATTAGTATTTTATTTATTTATTTATTTATTTATTTTTATTTAAAATCAATTAACATATAGTATATTATTAGTTTCAGAAGAATTTAGTGATTCATCAGATGCATATAACACCCAGTGTTCATCACATCAAGTGCCCTCCTTAATGCCCATTACCCAGTTACCGCTTCTCCCCACCCACCTCCCCTCCGTCGAACTTCAGTTTGTTTCCTATAGTTAAGAGTCTCTTATGGTTTGTCAAGAAATATTAGTATTTTAGGATCGCTTCTGTCTCATCACTTGAGAGAAAGCTTAAATGTCACATTCTCAGAGAAGCATTTATTGATCACAGTCTAGGTTAGGTAGCTTCTCCCCACCTCAGTCCCACAGCTCTTTTCTTATTTTTTCCCATAGTATTTAACCATTACCTACAATTATCAAGTTCATTTGGGTTTGTTGACTGTCTCCCATCAGACTATAGGCTCCATGAAGGGAGAAACCTTGTCTACATGGTCATGGTTGAATTGCCAGCACCTAGCATATTGTCAGCCTCATGGGGCATGAATGGATAGGTAAGAAATACTATGCGGCTGTTAAAAGAAACTAGAATACCCCCCAATTCCCCATACCCTTTCCTACTTTTTCTTGTTCTTATAGCACACAATCCCTTCTAATATATTATTCACCTATTTATGATATTATCATCTATTTTTTCCTGCTAAAATGTAAGCTCCATGAAGGCAAATTCCCCCAATTCCCCTTACCTTTTCCTACTTTTTCTGTTCCTATAGCACACAATCCCTTCTAATATATCATTCACCTATTTATGAAATTGTTTATCATCTATTTCCTCCTGCTAAAATGTAACTCCATGAAGGCAAAGATCTGTGGCTACTTTGTTCATGAATGTATTCTAAGAGACTAAAATGCCTGGCACATGGTAATGCTCGATAAATATTGGTTGAATCTCTATTTGCCGATGTTTAGCATATATTAATGAATGAAAAAGCAAGTTGTCAAGCAATCTGTGTAAACTGTGTGTGTACACACAGACACTTAGACACACACAAATGTTGGGATACGTGTAGAAAAACTTTTGGTATTCAAATCCAACATCTGTGGAGTGGAATTTTTGAGAGAAAAATTTAGTTTTTAAACTTTTATACTGCCTGAATTTTTTTACATTGGCACGTATAGCATATATTGACAAAGATGTGGAGCACAGAACTCATAAGTCACAGTTACAGTGTAAATTGGTACAACCATTTTGGAAATAATTTGGCATCATCTAGTAAAGTCGCAAATGTGCCTATACCATGAAACTATTTCACTCCTAGGAATGTATTCCAATGAAACTTTTACCCATGTGCGTTAGGAATACATGCAAGAATCTGCACAGCAGTAGTCATCATAGCAAAAAACTAGAGACACCCAATGGCCTACCAACAGTAGAAAAACTATGGTAATTCATCCAATAAAGTACTATATACTAGAATGAATTCTATCTATGCACAGCAATGCAGATAAATCTTACCACATTGAGAAAAAAAAGAAAGTCACAGAAAAAATACATAGTAAATTCCATTTGTATAAAATTAATAAATATGCAAAAGTCAACAAATACTGTTTGGAGTTATAAACATATACAGTAAAACTGTGAAGAAAAGCAAGGAAACAATATAACCTATAACCTGCAGGAGGGGAATCTCTGAGCAGAGAGAAAGGGGATGGAATGGGTAAGACTAGAAAGAGAACTTAAAAGTTATGGTTATATCACTTCTCGGCCTTTTGGCTAAGATCAAGTGTAAAAGTTATGGTCATTTATTTATTTGTTTTAAGTAGGCTCTACTCCCAGAGTGGAGCCCAACGTGAGGCTTGAACTCACGATCCTGAGAGCAAGATCTGAGCTGAAATCAAAAGTCGGATGCTTAACTGACTGAGCCACCCAGGCGCCCCTGTTTTTTAATGGGATGGCAAGTACGCAATTTCACTGTATCATTCTTTTTTCTTTATGTATGTTTATAAATATTGTTTTTTCATTTAGTCAATCGTAAATAAAACAATTTTGGGGAAAAAACCCAAACCAATAAAGTTTGAGCCTCTTCCTGTGTACTTATATTTAATAATTAAAAAAAAAACAGTTAATTAAAAACAAACAAACCAGGGCACCTGGGTGGTTCAGTCAACTAAGCGTCTGCCTTCAGCTCAGGTCATGATCCCAGAGTGTGGGATGGGGCCTTGCATCAGGCTCCATGTTCAGCAGGGAGTCTGCTTCTCCCTCTGCCCCTCCCACGCTCATGCTCATGCTCTCTCTGCCTCTCAAATAAATAAATAAATAAATAAAATCTTTAAAACAAACAAACCCTCTAAGAGTAGAATGGCTGGGTTATGCAGTAGGTCATATAACTGGCTTTTTAAAAAGCTACAAATCTGTTTTCTAATATGATAGCACCATTTTCCATTTCCACCAGCAGTATATGCAAGTTCCAGTTGTTCCACATCCTTGCCAGCATTTGGTATTATTGGTCTTTTTTATATTAACTATTTCGACAAATATATAGCAATATCTCCTGGTGACTTAATATACGGTGCAATCAATGTGTAATGATGCTGATTATCTTTTCATCTGTTTATCTGCTCTATGTATATCGTTTTTTTCCTAAGATTTTATTTATTTATTTGACAGAGATAGCGAGAGCAGGAACACAAGCAAGAGGAGTGGGAGAGGGAGAAGCAGGCTTCCTGCTGAGCAGGGAGCCCCATCCCAGCACCCTGGGATCACCACCTGAACCCAAGGCAGACGCTTAACGACTGAGCCACCCAGACGCCCCTCTGCTCTATGTATATCTTGATGAAGTGCCTATTTAAATCTTTTGCCTGTGTTTTTTACCGGCTTGCTTGCAGTAGTATGCTGGTAAATGTTTAAAACAGACTTTCTAAGTGTAGTTTTTAAGTGAATGCTGGTTGATATTTTCATTTACATTAATGAGTACAATGTAACTGAAACTTCAGAAGTGACTTCTCTGAGTTGGATAATAGTTTTCAAACACTAGAATGATACTCCCTCAAGTTTTTGAGCTATTCGCAATGTAAAGCCTATAGACATGACATACTTCTAAATTTAATCTCTATTAACATTTCTCCATCATTAAGTTCAGACATAACAAAGCAGAAAATCAAGCCCTGGTGTGTAGCATTTGCTGATTCTATGGTGTAAATATTCCCATTGTGGTCAAAATCAAGCTACTGATGTTACTTTGGAAAAAGATGTGCACATCACCATATAATATTTCCACCATATAGATGCAAAAGAAATAAGGAACCACAAAAGCATACAAAATGGGAAAATGTAGTAATAACGAAATGATGAGTGGTTTTCAATAGACTTTATTTCATTTAAGTTTGTATAATTTAATTTTTTAAATAGCTGTATTTAACAACCAATTTGCAAAATTCTTGCTAAATTTAAAAATTTTATTTATTTTTAGAGAGGGAGAGTGTGAGCAGGGGGAGGAGCAGAGGGGGAGCGAGAGGAAGGGGGAAAGAATCCCAAGCAGGCTCCACTCTGAGCCTGGAGCCCTACATGGGGATGGATACCACGACCCCAAAATCATGACCTGAGCCAACACCAAGATGCTCAACCGACTGAGCCACCCAGGCGTCTCCCCTTGCTAAATTTCTTAAGTGACTCTTGCAAGCCAGTATGAAATGGCTTCAGCACATCGGTGGTTGTCTTATTATTGAGTTGTTTGAGGTTTTTTTTTTTTTAAGATTTATTTATTTGAGAGAGACCTGCTACTTCTGTAAAATTGGGCTAATATGCTCCTCAGAGTTATTGCGAGGAGTACTAAGTCCACAGAAATACTTTGCAAATCAAAGAAAACCTCACTCATTAGGTCAGTTATTGACAAGCGAAACAATCTTTGGAGGAAATTGCCATAATTTCCTAAAGAGAAGAAAAAAAAAAAAGAACGAAAGAAAAGGAAAGCCCAAGCCCTGGAACACTAATTGCCCTTCCTCATGGGACCCTTCCCATTCCTTTAAAATCGGCCGGGCTGCAGAGAGACGACTGAGTGACGGCGCGATCGGCCAATCAACGCGATCGGCCAATCAGCGGAGGCCCCGTTTCGGGCCCACCCCGAAGCCTCGTCCAACCGCGTACTGGTAGCACCCGGATTAGGACCGTTGCGAGGCGGCCGGTTCCAAGTGGCCCAGGTCGCGGGGGGGGGATGCCGGCCCGTACACGAGGACGGCGCCGCCCTTTGCGCGCGGGAACTGGAATTTGGGCCGCGGTTGCTGGGACCGGGCCGACCCAGCGGGACGGCGGGGACTGACCTGTGCCTAGATCCCATCCCGGCACGCGCAGCCTGCCGCGAGTCCCTGGTGTCCCCTCCGGCGCGCTCTTGGAGCCACTTTCCCGAGCGGAAGTCAGCCTCCGGCTCGGGCCCTGGTGGGACCTGCTCGGAGGAATGGCGTCGCCGGGTGAGGCGTTGTGCATGTCTCGACGACGGGGCCCCGCGGCCGGCACGCCTTGGCGAGTGGGCCGTAGCCCGCGGGAGGCTAGTGCTCGCCACTCGGGAGTCGGCCACGCGGGAGCTTCTTCCCCTATGGGGCAGGGTCAGGGGCATGGGCTCGGGCTCGGGCTCGGGCTCTTTTGGGGTCGAGCGTGTGACGAAGGGCTGGCGAGCGGGTGGACTGCGGGCGGATGGAGGTGGGGTGGGTGCCAGGGCGGCGCGGAGCTACGGGTGCCCCCGAGGCCCAGCCGGGGGCCGCGGTTAACCCTGGGTTTGACTTCATTCATTTGATTCGCGGCGGCTCCCGAGCCGGACGGCCTAAGAGTGAGCTTTTGGCCAAGTCGTCCTTTGGACCGTGGCTTCCTTTGTAGTAAAAAGGAGCAAGGAAATCACTCATCTCTCTGGGAGCTTAGAGTATATTCTGAAGTTAGATTCTCCTGGTGCAAACTTGTAGTTTGTCAAGTATTCGTTAACGTGACCCAGTCCAAGTTCCTTAACCCCTCTGCACCTCAGTTTCTGATCTGTAAACTAGGTTAGTCACGTTATCCGCCGCATAAATTGCTGTATTAAGTGAGCTGAGCCCCGTGCATAGTTTAGAATAGTGCATGGCACTCAGCAAGCATCAATAAAGTTAACTGCATTGCTAGTTATTGGGCGGGCACTGTGCACGATGAGAGCATGTAGTCTCACGGTGGCGTGGGGAATGTGTACTATTATGTACGTTTGACAGATAGGAAGACAAAATTTCGGAGAAGAAAAGTAACTTGCCCAAGATAACAGTGAATAAGACAGTGGGTCATTGCTCCATTTTTTGAAAAGTTGAGGGTAATAGAGTGGTTAAAAAACAAACTTTGGATTCAAACTGCCTGCATTTTGATTCTCAGTTATGTGTCTTAGGGCAGGTAACGCCTAGTGAGTCTCAATTTCTTCATCTGTAAACCGCACTCAGTTGGATGTTGTGAAGATTTAATGATTCAATGCATGCCAAGTACTTAGCATAGTATGGGCATACCCCACACGTGTTAAGTGCTCAAATTTTAGCCAAAAATGTTGTCACTATTAATTCGAGGTGGGAAGGTTAGAATTCTGACATAGATGCTGTGTTAGGGGAATTTATAGTCTAGCTGGGAAAATGCCAGTTGTCATTTACTAGACCTTAATATATTAAGTGCTATATTAAGCATGGAATATATTGCATGTACACAAGGCACTGGGGATTCAGCATCAGTATCTTTTTGACTCTTTTTCTTACATTTTTCTATCCTTTAGCAGTTCTGGCTTTGACCTTGAATTCTAGCTGGACTCTGACCACTTCTCACCTCTACTGCTGTCACCCTGGCTGTGACCACCATCATCTTTTTACTTGGATTATTACTAACTGGTGTCCTCTTTAGATTCTTTCTCCTACCTAGTCTCAACACAGTTTTGTTTATTCTCAACACAATGATCCTATTAAATTGTAAGTCAAATCATTCCTCTTCTCAAAACTTTCTAGTGGCTCCCATCTCTCAGTATAAGCCAGAGTCCCTACAAAGGTTTAAAAGGTCCTTCAGGTTTGGCCTCTGCTACCTCTTTCACATCTTCCATACTTTTCACCTTTTGCTTATGCCACTCTAACTATACTTTCCTCTCTTAATGTCAACGAATACCACATATACAGGGTCTTTGCACGTGCTTTTCTTCTTGGGATAGTTTACCCCAAGATATCTTTGTGATGCTTCTCCTTTTCCTTCAGGTCTGTACACAATAGCTTTATTTCTTAGTTAGATCTTCATAGACTACCATATTTAAAATCGTAACTCTGGGGCACCTGGGTGGCTCAGTTGGTTAGGCATCTGCCTTCTGCTTAGGTCATGATCCCAGGGTGCTGGGATTGAGCCCCATGTTGGGCTCCCTGCTCGGTGGAGAGCCTGCTTCTCCCTCTGCCTCTGCTGCTCCCCCTGCTTGTGTGTGTTCTCTCTGTCAAATAAATAAATAAAATCTTAAAAAAAATAAAAATAAAATTGTAATTCTTCTCAGATATCTCTTCAGTGCTTCATTTTTCTCCATAGCACTTTTCACCTTCTAATGTGATTTTTTCTTTCTTTCTTTCTTTCTTTCTTTCTTTCTTTCTTTCTTTCTTTCTTTCTTTCTTTCT